CCCCCCCCCCCCCCCCCCCATCGTCGCTCATCGTACGTGACTGTGCTCGTGTGCTCCGCTCATGCTCGCTCAAAAGAACAGCAATCGAAGCAAGAGAAAAAGGAAATAGAAGAAGAGTGTACGCCCCCAACAGTGAGCAAAAGCAAAGATGCCGCTAGGCGATGGTAGATGGCAAATCGTCGTCCGTCGTGCAATTTAGACGCGGACGCCAGCGTTGCCGAGGAAGCGGGCGAAGAAGCCACCGCTGGTCTTGGGCTTCTTGGATGGCTTCTCGCCGTCGAGCTGCTGTTCCATCGGCAGAGGCAGCTGAGAGTGGTACATGGCCTTGTACGCCTTGGGTGGCGCCTGGGGCATGTGCACAACCGCTGCGTTGGTGGCACTGTCGTAACGGTGGACCGACGGCATCTCCGAGTGGTAAATTGAGCTGGGCGTCGACTCGGTGCTGGACAGGTCCGAGTGCGACGAAGCAGCCGACCCGGACCGCTGAGGTGGCGAAAGCGACGGCATGCGCGACGAAGAGCCAGACGAGCTGCCGGTCGAGGGCCGGCTGTCAAGACGGTACCTCGAGTAAGGGTTGCTGAGCTCGGCAGGAGGCGTGATGGCGCCGTTCTTGACCTGGTGAGCGCAGTACTCGAGCGAGACAGAGTGGCCGAGGCCCTGGTAGTAGGTCTGGATCTCGCGGAGCTGCTTGATCTTCTTGAGTTGCTGGGCCCTCTCGGCCTGGCGGACCTGGTAGTCGCGGATGGGGGCGAGGAAAGGCTCCAGGTGGAAGTAGAGATCATCCTGGTTGATGCGGAGGTCCCAGTCGAGGAGGAAGAGGAGCTGCTTCTCCATGAGGTTGACCTCGGTGAGCGAGAAGCCGAAGTGCTCGTAGCCACGGACGGTGCTGTAGCGGGCCCAGTGCTTGTTCTTGGGAGAAGAGTCGTTCAGGTTCTTCGCGGCCAGGATGAGGGAAGCGAGGAAGATGCGGTGGACGGTGCAGCGCATGCCCTTGGCGACCGGAGGGAGGCGGGACTTGAGCCTGGCCAGGTAGACGAGGGAGCTCATGAGGGTAGCGGCACCGACGTGGGACCTGTCGACGAGCGACATGATGAAGGCCTCGACCGAGGGAAGGGCCGGATCCCGGCCGAAGGGCTGGGCATGGCTCTGGGGAGGAGTGGAGGGAGGGGTGGGAGGAAGGTTCTTGTTGACGTTGCCCTGCTGCTGGGGCGTCTCGCAACGGATGACGTCGGACGCCTTGCGGGCCAGGTAGGCGATCATCTCCTTGGAGACGGGGAGCTGGATGAAGTAGTCGAGGGCGGCAGCGTTCTGCTCGGGGGTGGCGGAGTAAGAAACCATCGTGGAAGACTGTCGCGATGAAGATGTTGTGGACGAGAGGCTCGACGAGGGCGAAGTGTTGATATGGGCCACGGGACAATAGACGATTGTCGTATTGTTGTTGTTGTTACCACACAATTGGTATTGTTGTGGTGAATGGGGCGGAGAATCCTATTGTTGTCCGGTGGTGATCCCCGGGGTAGGTGCGGTGGGTGGCGGACGGGGATATTAGATTAAGAGGCCGAGGCGGTGAGGCAAGAGAGAGAGAAGATGCAACGACGGAATAGATGCAATTAGTTCGCAAGGCTCCCCGACCGGCAGAAAGCGATGTGTGATTAGTTCAAAGATGGCAGGAAACCCGAAGCGGAAAGGCGCAGCCGTAGCGTGGGCGTGGAGCAGGGTTGGTTTGGCCGAGGGCTGATGCTGAGGAAAAGAAGGATGCGGCGGGGCGGAGCTCCAACAACCAGGCGGAGTCGCGGGGGAAGTGAGGGAAGAAACGAACAGAAAACGGAAGTGTTGGTTGGTGAGGGGGATGTGTTGTCGCAGTGACGGCACACTCAGTTCTTATGTGCGAGAGGTCGCGCGCGTCGCTGGCGATGGGCAGCGGGCGCGGTGGAATCCTGGGGTGGGGGTCGGGTGCGGGCAACGATTGGCCACAAGCCGTCTACTCGCGCAGCGGCCCTGGTCGGCGCCAAAGGCAGCGGCAGATCGGACAAAGTGACAGGCTGTCGCGCTGTTTCAGCCTGTGCGCGCAAGCCCGTGTTTCAAGCGTCCTGGCGGCGCAGCCAGTCCACGGCGGCCGTTTGCAGCGCTCTCGAGAGCTGTTTCGCGATGCAAGGCGCTGCGGGCGCTGCGGGCTGCCGGGCGGACAAAGGGCCGGAAAGCCAGGAGGCGTGTCGGATGATGGTCGTCGTCGGCCTGTCGCTCGGCCCTTGGCTGCTGCTGCACGCTGCGGCGCTAGCTGGCCTGGTCTCCAGACGGCGGACGGGCGGGGCGGTGGTGTTGCAGATGGCACGATGCCTGAAGTGGGCGAGAGCAGGTGATGGGCAGCGGGCGATGGCGAGGGCTGCGAGCGTACACGTGCCGGGAGGTGAGGAGCAGGATCAAGTGCCCAACTCGCACGCGGCATCGCTGCGTATAAGTCACCGCAGCCGCAGGGCGCCGCGCGGGCGGTGGGCTGGGTCTTTGGGTCGCCATCGCCCGTCTCCTTGGTTACGAAGCTGTATAGCGTGGTGGTGGGGGCGTCCGAGCAGCGATTTCCCAGCCTCCCCTCTGATCGGCCGACGAACACGATGCCTTTGGGCGGCCGACGAACAGCTCAGCGCTGTCGCCCCGCACTGCGCCAATCAGCGCCGTGACAGCTGTCTTGGCGACCCTCTCTCTCAGCCACTCCGCCACTCGACCCTGTACAGAGTACGTGCCGCTTTGGGCCCGGCCGCCCTGCCCACGCGAGCATTCTCCAGCCCCGCCGCCCATGGCTCGACAATTTGGATTCCTCCACTGCGCCGCGGCCGCAACCGGCGACGCTCAGCAACTCCGCCGCGTCCTTGCCTGGCTCCAGAACGCACACCACCCGCGCCGGCTGCCGGCGGGCCGCGGCGCGCGGTCTGCGGCGTGGCAGTGCCCGTAGGGTGACGACGCCGAGGTGCTCGACAGTGACGCAGATCTGCTCCCACATCCGGCCAGGTTCCTCAGCTCACAGGGCCGTGGAAGAGTGGGTTTCCTAGCCTTCTCCATGCCGATGCGCATGCGCCTGTGCCTGGTTCGCCTGACCTGCCGTTCAAGGTTGCCAGCGCTGCCCCGGCCGAGCGGCGCTGCCGGCCACGACTTTCCCCCCATCCCACCGTTGCATCGCGCTGCACTGCCTGCCCTGCTTGCAGCCGTTTCTATCTGGTGGCCTGTCGAGCTCCGTAAGCCGCAGCCCTGGCCCTGACCGTGGCCGCTGGCCGCCGCAAGGCGTTCGCACTGCGCCGGTTTGGACACGAGTCGTTGGGCAATTGCCACGCCTGAATCCAGCTCACTGACCGACACAACTATGTCATCGCTGCGAGGCTCATGCAAAGCAGCAGCACCGCAACCCCATCCCCATTGCGAGCTGCAAGCCACTTCCGTAGCCCGCGCCTGCCTCCCACGCAATCGACCGCGTAGCAGTCCGCGCCACACTCCCTTCGCTCCGTCTGCGGCATAGTCAAGCCAGCTGGTCCCGTGTTCGGGCCTCGTCCACCGCTACTCTCCAGAACTCCGTGCGCCACTCCGCTTCTCGGGCTCTCGCTGCGGCCGGCCGACTGCTGGGCCGCTGCCAAACACGCAATGCTTCGAGAGGATAAGCCACCTCCCAGAATATCGCTGCGGGCGATGCGCCCATCGCTGCGGCCGGCCGACGGGAGGCCTAGAATTGCGTGCAGGCGGGTGGTGCCTCGTTCCGGCGAACGATTATAGATAGCCGCCCACTGCACCTGCAGGGCAAGCGTTTGGCGCCGCCGGGCGCTTACTTACACTCCCTTCCCGCGCCTCTCATTCGCTCCACCCTCATCTCTGGACTCTAAATCCAGCCGTGGACCCGCCAAGCGGCTCTTCAACCTGCCGCTCCGCTCCCCTGAACTGCTATTCTAGAACATTTTCTACGTACCTGCGCATCTGGAAACACGGCTCCGTTGAAACGCGCTCTATTCCTGGCCAGAAGCCCGTCCTGAAGCTGCAAGCATAGGTTTTGAAACAAAGCGACCACTCTGTCGCTGCCGCAGCATGCATCCGCAACCCCCCTGCCGCAATAATTTCGTCGGTTACAAAAATAATTGAGCCCACAGATACCACACCCCACATACGCGGGTTGTTGGTTCTGGTACCTGGATGTATATGTGTGGTCTTATAACTCATATCTACGTCCGTACATCCACGCGTATGCCCCAATTGTCCACGTAAGAGGGCTCAGATTTTCTGCGAATCATTATTGTGGCGGAGGTCTGCAACAAACACGCATGGGAGACGGCGGAGAATGCAGAATGCAGAAGCGGGCGCAGCATCCCTGCATATGGCTCAGCATGAGTAAGCGCCCGCGTCACCTCTTTATCACCCCCAATCCGGTCTTTTTCCTTGCTGTCATGGCTTTTTATTTAAACTTCGGACAGCGGCACGCATTGACGGTCCCGCTGTCCTTGCTGAAAAAAGTAAAAGTAAAAAAGGTTGCCACCATGAAACGATACCCGCCCATTTACTTGGCGTACGATACACAGCAGCCAGCGACGCAGGTCTCCGTCACACTATTTTTGGGCGGGCGCTTCTCCAGCAGCAAACTGCAAGATTCCGGCGCGTAAGCAAGTTAATCCTGCGCAGGACACCTTTCTCTGATGAGTAGAGCCACAGAGTTATACACCCCCATTGACTTCTGCCTCGAACTGGGCCCGCCGGCATCAGACCGCCTTCATCAGGCCTCGACCAACGCGTACATGTCTTTGTTCTGCAAAATTTTTCTTACTACTACGATGAAGAGTCATGTACAGCTAACTCACCGCAAGTCCTCTGAAAGCACCGACACATGCACATCAGTGGATCGACCTTCCCGCATTGCACATACGCACGAACCAATGTTTTTATTGATAAACCACAATGCCCCAAGCCTTCTATCGAAACCTATGAGCCTACCTTCCCCCAACCCACCCTACCAAGACCGGATGAAAGACAAACGAGGCCGCTTTGAGCAAGCCGGTGTATGAATGCTAGAGAAGAGTAGGATCAAGTATGAGATACAGGGATCGCCGCGAGGCGTGGGGTATTTTCAGAGTTGAGAAAAGACGCCTAAGAACCCACAAAACACCAAGCTATAGAGCGCCGAGAAAAACACGAGTTGGGAGGTAAGTTGGGGGAATGGTACAGTGAGTGGCCCCCCTCACGACGAAATAACGCCTCCAAAATCTAGCTCCTTTTGTCCTGTCGGAAACTGGAAAGTCAAATGTCCGCGCCAGGAGAAATTGCAGCTGCCAACGGCAGCTTGCGAAAGAATGACACCCCGGATGACGCCATCACCATGTATCAAAGTGTCACCCTCCTCTTCAAATACAATTTTCAGTTCCTGCTTCTCTTACTCTTCATTTTGTGAAAGAAGCCTCTCATGCTCATCCTCTTTTTTTGCTTATTTTCCTTGTCGTCATATGCCTTCTCAGTCTCCATGGGAATCTTCACTTCGGCCGGGTATCCATTTTCATTTCCATCCACATAATACCGAGGCTGCGCTGTTGAAGAGACAGATTGACGTGGCCTGGGCCTTTCTTTCGTACTCTTGCTCCGCTTGGGCGCAAGGTCTTCAAAAGACGTATCGACGGTACCGTCACTGCGACCAGAAGTCGAGTGGTTAGGTTGCAAGTATGTCGGCGGAACCTGCAGGGTCGCACGTCCCGGCCTCACATGCGGCGTTTGGCGTGGCGTGGGTTGGTCGTCGTTGCTGGACGCCATGGACGAAGCGTATTCACCAGAATTCTTAGGAGTGCGGTCCTCGATCATTGGGAGCATGATGTGCGCCGCCTCGGAGACGGTAAAACGATGGGGACGGTCGTTTTCTTCTTCCGTGTTGATCCTATACATGTCCGCTGATACTGACGTCCCCTTGGGGCCACTGCTGTGTCGCTTTGGGTTCCTCTTGCTGGATGCGCGCTGCATGAAGGCGGTTCCGGTGGAGTTTGCGCGGCGAGAGCGAGTAGAGCTCCCGGTTTTGGCAGTAGACGGGGGTGTCGAATCGGCGGCATTGTATTCGCCATTGAGCGCCGCCAGCGCGCTATTCCGATGCAACAACATCCTGGACACGCTCCTCAGGCTGTGGTGCTTCTCGCTTTGGTTGTCTGGGATTCCAGGCGAGCTGGACCTCGACATGCTGCCATTGAGGCTGGCCATGCTGACAGTACGTATAGGCGCACAGGGCATGATTGGTGAGCCGCACAAAGGTGATGCCGGCAGACTTTCTCGATCGCGACCCGGTTTTCCATACCGAAAGACGGTCGACCACTTCTCTCGAAATGCCACCCAGATGCCAGTGACAATGATGAGCTTCCTCAAAGTTTCATCCGTGGTCAGCATGGGGCGAGGCTCAGAGGTGTCGGGCAAGCTCTGAGAATCGGCAGCATCGCTGAAGGTAGGCGAGAGTGGAGAGGCCAGATTCGTCTGAGGCGGTATGGAGTACTGATCCCAGACGTCAATGCCACCTTTTGTCATGCTGGCGATGACAGGATGCCGCCGACGATCCGGGCTTATGGTGCTGAAGGTGAACTTGCGATCCTCAGCAGCATTGTCTGCTTGCGCATAATTGGCAGACTTCCGTTTGCCTTGAGGCTTGGGCACCCATCGCGCCTTGGACTGTAGGCCGTGCTCATCGGTGGCGACAAACTCGTAGCCGCCATTTTGCATAAAGGTCGCCTCCCACACTGTGTCATCGTCCATACAGATTTCGGTGCGCTCGTCTCTGACGTTGAAACAGACGACGCCAACGACTTCACGAGACTCCAGGTCCTCATCGGAATCACTATGGTCATCCGCGCCACCGTAGTCCCCAGCCCGCACAACCACGACATCGTCTGGGCCCAGCCTGTCCCTATGCTTAAATACTCTACGGAACTTACGCTTCAGCCTGGGAGCGAAGGTAGTTGAAGGAATGGCCTCGAAAGCGGGCTTCGGCCTCGAGTTTGGCGAGGATTGGTGTAGCTGGAGGAGGACCTTGGGTCGGAGGTGCAGCGGGCCTACGCGGGGAGGAGGGTGGGCGAGAGGGTAGTTGGTCTTGGGGCGCGAAGGTCGCTTGCGCGAGCGGTCGTCGGTCGAGGCGGTGGTAGTACTCCGAATAGAAGGCGGGCGTGATGATGACGTGTTGCTCTCAGGCGGCAGGGCAAACATGATGGACTTCCTGGACGAGGCATGCGAGGGACGGCCGTCGAAGCTGACGCTCTTCCGAGTAGGCAGCGGGGATTGCTGCGGCCTCTGCTGGCGGACGGTTGAGGAGAGATAGTTCAATGGAGAGCGAGGGGGAGGAGAGGTGGTGGGATGAAGGGGCGAGGGCGTGCGCGGGGCAGAGAACTCGTGGCCATGCTGGGCGGCAGCATCCGCGGTCAGCATGGACAGGAACATGGTGCTTAGCCAGGCAGCGGGAGACGAATGGCGGCGGGGGAAATCATTCCCAGGTGTTGGCGGGTCCGTGGGAGAGGGCCAGATTGCGGAGGCGGCGTACCAACAGGGGGCCAGGAGTTGCAGAAGCGACTTTGCGCGCAGCAGCGAGGCTATGCTGCTCGTACTGGGATTTGTTTCGAAGCAGTCGAGGCGGGGCGGGGAGCAGCAGTCGACGGCTGCGGCAGGACTGCAATGACGGCTCGCGCAGATCATGCACGAGGGCGCAGGGGTCCGGTCGGCTGGAGGCGTGGGCGCAGGGGGTGCGGTGTCGGCTGAGCCACCCTACGTGCGCGTCGAGGCGAAGGCAGCGGCAGGACGTAGGATTGGAGGATGGCGGAGAGCGAGGTGGGCGCGGAGTGTTGAGAGTGGAGGGCGGCGGCAAACACGGGGGCCTGCGGGAGCTGCGGGACCAGGCTTTGTGTAGCAGCTGCCTTTGTACCGCGGAGGCAGCGGAAGGCCCTTTGATGGCGGCTTCAGGCCAGTCGCAGCACTGATGCTGGCAGTCGGACGGCGAGTGGTTCCGGCGGCCGCCTCAGCATCAGCCAGCATCAGCCAGCATCAGCCTAGGCCGGCGCAAAGCTCGCCCTGTCGGTGCCGTCGGTGCCTGCTTACCACTCGGCCACGGAGCTTGCCTGTGCCGCCCGCGCACGAGGCCCGTCCTGCGGCCCACCGTGCTGCGCGCTGCCAACGGCGGCGCTGCTTGCGAGCACGCTGGCAGCGTCGGCCGATGCGGACGCCATGCCCGCCAGCGGTGAGCTCGCCAGCGTGGTGCGCGCTGCCTGCGGCTGCGGTGCGGCCAGCCACGACTTGCGGGCCTGGTGGAGCCGCAGCCGCCTCTCGCCGAGTCGCCGCATCGCCCTGCGCTGCGGCATCTGACGCATTGGCTCGATCGGACCACGGAAACACGGCACTGCGCGCTCTCGCGGCGCTGCGCACGGAGCGGCGCGCTGAAGCACGCTGGAATACGCCCACACGCCCAGCATCCGTCACGTGCGCCGCAGAAGGCCGCTACGCCCCTTCCCCAGCGACCCGAAACCGCCGGCTCGGGCCTGCCAAGCCGCGACGAGCAACGCCCTTGGAGTCGTTGTTGACGTTGGCCGGTGCCGCGCCGTCCCGCTCGTCCATCAAGCTCCAAGCTCTCCTATGACGCCCGCCCGCGTGACGGACCATTGCAAGCAAGCGAGCCCTCGCTGCCCACCTCCTCGCTGCCCACCAGCCCTCGACGCCCGGAAAATGCCTCGCCTGCACGTTTGCCGTCGTCCGCTGGATCGCCCGACCAGCGCCCTCGTACTCGTGTGCGCCGCCTGGAAGGCCCTCCTGCTGCTTATTGCCTTCGCCAGTCCCGGCCCTGGCTATGACACGTCGACGACGCTCCTGTTGGGTCACGATGCTGCTGCCTCCTCGCTGGGGGCCGCTTCAGCGCCCTGGTCCGCCACGCTAGGCGAGCGCCTCGTCAGCAAGCTTGTCCGCTGGGATGCAATTTATTTCACCGCCGCCGCCGCCCGTGGCTACCAGCACGAGCAGGAGTGGGCGTTCAGCTGGGCGTTCAGCCATCTGATGGCCAATGCCGCCAAAAGTATGCCTGGTCCCCCTTTGCCCGTTCCGTCAAGCAGGATGCTGACGACCCACTGCCAGTCCTGCCTCTTGCGGGCGACCACTTGGCCGCGCTTGCCTGGGCTGGCGTTGTTGTTTCTAATGCCTCACACCTGCTCTCGGTCTTGGTGCTATACCAGCTAGTTAGGCTAATCTTGCCGGAGCCGGCTTTGCACAAGACCGCCTTTCTGACTGCAGTCCTCCATGCCCTCTCTCCCGCCGGCCTGTTCCTCGCCGCGCCATATGGAGAGGCTTTGTTTTCGCTCCTGAACTTCTCAGGAATGCTGTGCTACGCCTATGCTCGCGTGCAGCCCAATGGACCACTCAGTCTTGCTGCCAATCTGCTCTGCATGCTTACCTCAGGACTTTGTTTTGGCCTCGCGACAATGGTGCGCAGCAATGGCTTGCTCAGTGGCCTCATTCTAATCTATGATGTTGTACGGGTTCTGCCTGGTCTCCTTGGTCAAAAATCCGAAATGATTGCGACACTCATGAGGCTCACTGGCACCGTTCTAGCCGGCTGTATGGTCGCCGGAGGCTCAATCATCCCCCAGTGGGTGGCCTACCTGCAGTACTGCACCTTGGTGAGCATGCCGCAGGTCTAACTCGGCAACCTTGGGCTCACGTAGACTAGGACCAAGCGAGGCCGTGGTGTACAAAAATGCCCCCTAGCATTTACACGTGGGTACAGCATCATTATTGGTAGGTCGATTTCCTTGGAAACATTCTCCCCCTAACAATATAAAGGAACGTGGGCTTCTTACGTTATTGGACACTGTCCAATATTCCGTTGTTTCTGCTGGCTGCGCCTACCATATGGGTTCTGGTGGGCTCTGCTCTGCGAGTCATTCGCCGGTACGTTTACGAACCCTAACGTCATAGCTCTCGTCATTCATTGACGACTGAGATTGATTTTCAAGCAGATTCTCCGCTCGTTCCGGGCCGGCCGAGAAGGTCTCGACTGAGCAGAATTCCTCGCGGACTGAAACGGCTCACCTTCTCGTGGCCTTCAGCATCCCCCAGCTCGCCCTTGCATTGTTGGCTGTGACAAATTTTCACATCCAGATCGTGAACCGCATATCCTCAGGATACCCTCTATGGTACCTTGCGATTGCTTCTGGTATGGACTGTGTGAATGATCCGCTCAGCGTCGCCTTTGCGTCGAAAGATACATGCAACTCCCTTGCCCGGCTTATGGTGATCTACGCAATCGTGCAGGGGGCTCTATTCGCGAGTTTCTTGCCTCCTGCGTGAGCCGAATCCACCGTATATATTGTCTCTCTTTCAGGGGCTGCATCCCCTTAGACTACAGTGAGTTGCAAAAGAATTGAGCTCTCCTATATCTACCTCTCCGAGGCAGTGCAACCTGAATAAGTGGGTGGTGGAATCATGTCATGACATGTTTGTGCGTATTTAAAATTTGCATCTAGGTCCGGATGTTCGCTCAACTGCCCTTGAGGAAAAGCAGTCGGAAGCGCCGTTGACGACGCGATAACGACGGTATACCGCTGTTATGGTCGCAAACTCCGGTGTTGTTCACAGGAATAATTGTAGGACAAGCAGCAGAATCAAGCCCATTTTTTTGCTTGAGACCTCGCCAGGCTTTAATATCACCTCCTCCCCCTGAGTTCACCATATGACATGCACAATCTAGAGAGGATCCATTCTATCTAAATGTTAATGAGGCCTGAACTGTCAGTGCTCAACACCTTTATTGTGCTGCTCAATGCGGTGGAGCATCATTAGTGAGGTATCTCCTGAGCAAGTTTGCCCCAGATGTAGATGATCATTAACCAAAGGAACCCTACTGTCTAAGATGTCGGTAGATCTACAGCGCGGATCCCGCTTCGGATCCCGGAGCATCCGAAGGCTTTCCGTTAAGATCCGACGACAAGTGCGCGCAGTTCCTCTTGGCGGCAAGGAAGTTCACGGTGGAGATTTTCGCTGTCCGCAAGGTCCGAAGCGCTCGTCCGCCCGAGGAAAATTTGGCGTACGTACCCATCCCCCGTTGCAGCAGGAAAATCCATCCATCATGAATGACCCCACACTTCCAGCGGAAATGGTCGACTGGTGCCGCGAAAAGCAAGGAATCACAACCACCGATGATTACGAGCTCTGTGGGTGTTTCAGCTCTTTCAGCGAATGCGACGCCTCAAGTCTTCTCCGCTATCGACGAATCCAAGCTCAGGTCATCCAAGATAAGCGAATCGAGCGTGTTACCGTCTACATGGCACCTGCATGATGCGCCTGCAAGGCACGCATGCATAGCCTCGTCGCAAGTTTCCGAGTACGTGCGACAAAGCCCTATTTACCAATATCATGATCGCCTGCGAACCTTGGTGCCAAGCTTGAATCATGTATATGTTCGAGCATGCCATGATGTGTAGTCTGAGTCTCGAGCATTACTGAACTAGCCAGCTAACATTCTTGTGGTCGCATGACAGATCCGTTGCGGTTGCAAGTCACACATAGCCCATGTTGCACCGTTGATACTAGTGTGCCTCGTTTCAGAGTCTGCACTAGCAATTTGCAAAGTTGTTGTGTGACACTGAAGGATCCTGACGGCAACGACCAGGCTAAGCGGTGCTCAGCAAGGAGAAAACGAGGGCCGGCAACTCTTGAATAGAGTCCTCCTTCTCGTCTTCTCGTGAAGAAGTATCACCCCACAAAGGAAACCGCACGTTTTCGTCGTATTCAGTGGCTGCATGAGTTGGCCACCTTTCACCGGACATCTCATCGCTAAGCAAGACAAGGCGTTGAGACTTATTGGAGTGGAATGAAATGCCAATTGGATTTATGGATCCGATTGTTGGTGCTCTCCACTGGCGTTGGTGTATTGATGCGCCTTTGGCGTTTCTTTCTGTCTTTTGCTTCCAGATGAGGGATTCCTCAGCGCACTCTGAGTCTTTGGCTGCTGGGAAATTGTCCCACTAACATCTTGAGAGCCATGTACTCCACATCCCTTCTCAACGTTGCGGGAGGACCCCTGCAAGGCACGTTCAGTGCTTCTGTCAGGAGGCTCTAGAAAAGTTAGCCGCCACCTTCTCGGCTAATGCGAGCAACGCCTAGCAATACGGCTTTCTGTAAGTGAAGGTGTTTGCGCAACGTTGTCAGCCTGTAAGGTCTGTCGGCACAGGGGGCTGTGGGCATTCTGGGGATATAAAATCCTGCCAGCGCCGATTTACGATTGCAGCTGTGTCCGGCGACAGTCATTCCCTTCGACCTCATCCGTTCGTTCATTGGAACGTGTTCCAGTAGCATTATGGTGGCCTCGGTGTCCTGCTTGCTTTTGTTTGCTCATTTCGCCTTCGGAGCACTTGATGAGAGGCAAGTACGGAGCGCTCGCTGCAATGACATCGACAACTGCGGCCAGGCTATCACTGGAACCAGCGCCTATTCCCTCGTCTCAGATGTACGGCCTTCAGACTGTTCCAATTTCATGACCGACACTCTCACTGAGTTCCAGACGACCACGACGTCGACCTTGACAACGACCATCACTTCGTCGCCAAATGCCAGCATTGCTCTCCCTGCGAGACAGGCCGAACGCGCTGGAAAGTCTGTGCCTTGGTACGCCTGGCCATGCGACGTAGAAAGGTGCGAGATCATGGTCATGGTGAAAAAGGATTTATCTCATAGGTATTGGATACAGATATGCAGAAGTATGCTCTTGTGCCGGATTCCCGGCGGCTACCATCACCGAGAAAGCAAGGGTAAGGCGACGCCTGCAGCCAAGATGGAACACGTTGGACTAATAGCAACTGAAACAGAGGACCACCAAGACGATCACCGTGACAAATTTGGTGGCGAACTCAGCTCCACCCCTGCACAAGAACAGTAGCGTCTCTCGCACACTGTCTTCAGGGACATCGGCGCTGATAACAACGGTTTCTCTAATGCCGCCTGACTCCTCAATTGTCCCTGCTTCACGGACGAAAAATACGACCAGTCAGAGCACGCAGGATAGCAGCACGTTTAACGTGACCGGCCCCACGTCTACATCTTCCATCAGCTTCACGTTAGTTACGCTTTCATGGGGTGATTCGGAAACGTCGACGTCGTCACGCCAGCCATCGACTCCAACGGCGACTCTTACGTTGAATGCTACTATCACCACTGCCACGGTGACTTGTAGCCTTGACGGCAGTAGTACGGTCTGTCCCACAACGCCTCAGGCCAGGCAGAGTTGCGCCCCACGCACACCAGATGTTTGCCCTGGCGCTGGAAGCACATGCGTAGACCTCAACACAGACGCGGACAACTGCGGGAAGTGCGGGCACAAGGTAGGTTCCTGTTCTCTGATGTGGTCTCTGAAGACACTAAGCCGGTGACAGTGCGCCAGTGGAATCTGCCAAAACGGGGCGTGTAGCACCGCCAGCTGCACGGGGTCTTCGTGTGGCAAGTTCGGATCGTGCAACGGCGATAGCACGTGTATATGCGGCAGTGCGGTCGACGGGACCGGCTTCTGCCTCGATGGCAACATTGCGTGCGGTGGGCTGCACGGCTGCGTTAAAAACGCCGACTGTGCCAAAGGCGAGGTCTGCGCAGTGGACACGTGCTGCGACCGAAACGTCTGCATCAAGAGCGACACGTGCGACAATTCCAGCGGGCTGCCCAGGAGGATTTTCATGTCCAGGATGGCCGGGAAGGAGGCCACGGTTGGTGGCGACTTCATGGGTAGCATATAATATAGCGGGGCGACGATGGAGCAGAGCAACCGGCAGCGGCGCTTCTAAAAGAGAAAAAAAAGTAGCATGAGATTTAATAATAAAGCCTTGGTTTTGTGAAGCAGGCACGCAGGCACGCAGACACGCAGGCTTGATTGGTCTTGGCACACGCAACTGGGCGAAGCTCCGAGAAGCCGGCCGCCGCCGTTCAGAACAACCTCTCTGCCCTTCCAATAATGCTCGACCGCACCTAGGATATTGCCCACCAGGCCTCATGCCGCCCTCCTACTTTTACCACCTGGCCTTTGAACTGTACCCGCACCCGCCAAAGTCCCACGCCGCTGTCGCAGACGTCGAGCCGCTATTTGTCCCGCCGCCGGGCACCGATATATTCCAATCCCACCTCCCCGTGCACCGCATCTCCTCCTGGGCCTCCCCGCCGCGCTGGCGCAAGAACGTCCGCCGCAGCAAGACCGCCTACAGCGTCGACCTCACCACCAACCGCCCCGCCGTCGCCCAGCGCCCGTCGTACAGCGAGCGCAGGAACAGCCACCTCGACAGCACCAGCAGCAACGCCCCGCCCGCCAGCGAGGCCCTCCAGCTGCTGGCTGCGAAGAAGCCCGCGGCCAGTGCCGCCGCCGCAACCGCCACCAAGGACTGGCGCTTCGACCGCGTGTCGGTCCAGAGCATCGACATGGAGGAAGCCCGGGCCGCCGACAAGGACGGCGCTCGCGGCAAGTCCGTGGGCAATAACACTGCGCGCGCCGCCGGCTCGGGCCTGGCCACCAAGGGCAGATTCATCCCGGCCGACCCGAAGAACACCGAGGTGGGCTGGGGCGTCGTCCATCTGTACCGCGATGCCCAGGAGACGCCCGGCCTCTACGACGACACAGCCTCGAGCGCCGGCTCCGACGCCGGCGGGGTGGGTGGTGATGGCGAGAAGCAAACTTTCAACGAGGAGGACTGCACCACGCTGTGCATCTTGGCGGTACCGTCGTACATGACGCCGTCCGACTTTCTGGGCTATGTCGGGGAGCAGACGAGGGAGGACGTCAGCCACTTCAGGCTGATCAGAACGGGCCGCGCCAACAAGTACATGGTTCTGATGAAGTTCAGGGCGGCTCAGAAGGCCAGGCAGTGGCGGAAGGAATGGAACGGGAAGTTGTTCAATAGCATGGAGGTACGTTCGACTGCGCCCAGTCTGGACCTGGTACCGTTTCGGTTAACAATCAGTCTGCAGCCTGAAAACTGTCACGTCGTCTTTGTCAAATCAATCGAGTTCCAGACCTCTGGCGGGGACAGCGATCCCTCCAGCTTCCCCAACATGAACAATGATCCCTTCACCCCTTCCGCCAGACCGACTCCATCCGCACCGCTGCCCGCAGGTGCTTCATCTGCTGCTGATTCTGGCTCGTTAGCATCATTGAGCACAAAGCCCCTCCCGCCACCTACCTCATCACTGGTGGAGCTGCCCACGTGCCCTGTGTGCTTGGAACGCATGGACGAGACTACTGGACTCCTGACGATCCTTTGTCAGCACGTCTTCCACTGCGCGTGTCTGGAAAAATGGCGCGGAAGCGGATGCCCTGTGTGCCGGTACACGCAAAACGACTCGCTGATCGCGCGCGGCTACGCCTCGGACGGCGAGGGCCCGGAGAACGAGTGCTCCGTGTGCGGCACGTCGTCGAACCTCTGGATATGCCTGATCTGCGGCAACATCGGGTGCGGGCGGTACGACTCGGCGCACGCCTTCCAGCACTACGAGGCGACGAGCCACAGCTACGCCATGGACATTGCGACGCAGCACGTGTGGGACTACGCGGGCGACGGCTACGTGCACCGCCTCATCCAGAACAAGGCCGACGGCAAGCTGGTCGACCTGCCGGCCGCGCACCACGCCAACAGCCACAACCACCACCACCACCACCCCAACAACAGCATGACGGGCATGGGCGCCGACACGGTGCCGCGCGAGAAGCTGGACAACATGGGCATGGAGTACGCGTTCCTGCTGACCAGCCAGCTCGACAGCCAGCGCCTGTACTTTGAGGAGCAGGTGGAGCGCGCCGTCGACAAGGCGGCCAAGGCGTCGGCCGCGGCCGAGGAAGCCGCGGCGTCGGCCTCGGCCGTCTCGCACCAGCTCCGCGAGCTGCAGGCGCAGAACAGGGACGCGAGGGCGTCGGTGGCGTCGCTGGAGCGCGACGTCCAGCGCCTGACGACGCGGGCCGCGAGGTCCGACGAGCTCGCCCGGTCGATGACGAAGCAGTTCCAGGAGGAGAAGAGCGTGAGCGGCGCGCTGATGCAGCGCATCAAGCATCTCGACGCCAGGGTGGAGGAGGTGGAGGGGCGGAACAGGGCGCTCGAGGCGGAGAAGAGGGAGTTGGAGGAGCAGAATCGCGATTTGAGCTTCTTCATCTCCGGGCAGGAGAAGCTGAGGGAGATGGAAAGCGCCCAGGGGGGGTTGTTGGATGAAGACGAGGTCAGGGAGGGTAGGGTTGAGGTGGGGGCCGCCCCGTCGGAGGAAAAGGAGAAGGGAAAGCGGAAGAAGGGGAAAGGGAGGAAGTGATGATTGGAGGATGTATTGCTGCGGTGCTGGTAGTGACGAGAGACTCGGATTCGGGCTTGGGCGGTCGGCACGGATTATGGACGTCAGCTTTATACCCCCCCTACTGATTTTGATTCTTCTCTTTTTCTCTGCATTTGGTTTTCTACCGTATGGATACAGAGCATACCTCGGCGTTTCTGGCGAATATGATGCATTCATGTAGATGAAGAATAGTGCATCTTTATTGAGTATCGATTCTGACAAACGCCACCCGAATGGATGATGTCACTGATAGAGAGGCTTTGACCCATTTGGCGTTCGATATCGCTTCTCAACTCCCTCAGTTCCTATTCTTGGACCTTTGGGTTATCGGTTTAGTGGTACAGCGCATAGTGTGGGTCAGAGGCGAGTAATAAACGACCGCCAAGCAGAATTAGGTGCCTGAGGCGATTAATAGGTGTGGGATTCCTAGTTCTTTTCCTTTTCGATTGCAGATATCAGGAAAATAAATCGACAAGTACATACATATAGTGAAGTTTCGTAGAGTATCAGTCATCGATTTGGCTTACTTTAATTTTTGTGTTTTAATAGAACCAGGTCCAAGGTTATGCCCAGCCTCGCCGCGCTGATTGCGACATTTCCGTCAAGCTGTGTGCTTACGTGGCCAAGGAGGGATCCGCAGGGTATTTGCAAGGAGAGTGCTGGATGGCATGATCTTGGCATCACGACGATTGGTGTTGTTCATTCGCAGGTGTAACGTGCTCGTATTCATAGTGTGACGTCACTTGCGACCTTCCTGTTTCGGCCTAGAGCCAGTCGTTATAGTAGCTGCCTGGCCCGGCCTCACTGAGCTGCTCCAACGTCTCCCCACCAACGCTCTTGCATAAAAGCTCAAAGGGAACCCCGCGGATTCACTCTCCACGAACTCCAAAAACAGTGTCCTGAAGCTGAACTCGCCGCCATCATGGATCAGTACCCAGCCAAGCTCTCCCAGCCACACCAGCCCGCCGTTCCACCCCCGCCCGACTGTGGCACACACCCAACTGTTCACGAGCCTTTGCCTTATCCCCCCACTAGCTTCGACCCAAAGTCATTCACCTGCATAACCTCCCCATATGGTGCTCACACCGCACCAAACTTCGCAGAATGCTGCGACAGCCCGGTCGCCAACTTCACCACCGTCCACCTCACCTCCGAAGGCCCCTCGTCCTGCGCCGCTTACTGCAGCGTTGAGCCCCACCGCCTGCTCGTCAGTGATTACCGTTCGAGCGACTTCCACACGTGCGTCTTTGGCGGGCCTGAGGAAGACAAGGACGTGCAATTGGAGTGCTGGGACGGCGAAGGCTTCGTCGGGGATCTGGACTGGGAGGATCGCTTCACGAAGAAAGATGGCAGCAAGCGCAAGAAACGAAGCCCGCAAGAGGAGGTCGAGTCGTCGGCGGCCACCACCACTACTTACGACCCGTCGTTCTGGAGCAGCCTGATCTCAGCCGCAGAGACGGAGACGGCCACCCCCATCCTGCTGACCGGCTCGTCGACCACAGCCACTGCTACATACGACTCCTCGCTCTGGAGCAGCCTGATCTCGGCCGCCGCGACCGACACCGCTAGCGTCGGCCTGCCCGTGCTGTCCACGACGACGACGACGACGGCCGCTGCCAACGGGACTGCCGCATCGTCGGGTGATGCGACCCTGGCCACCGGCTCCTTTGTATCCGTGAGCGAAGTCTCCGGGACGAGGTCTTCGACGGGCGGTGGCGCCGGCGCTACCTCGACCGGCCCGGCCGGCACATCCGCATCGGCTACAACCGACGCCGCTGCGAGCTCGGGAGGCTCGACTGCCTCTTCGAGCGCGAGCGCGAGCGCGAGCGCGGCCGAGTCTTCATCGGCTACTGGCGCTGCCAGCAGCGCTCAGCTCAAGGGTGCCTATGGCAAGTGGCTATGCACTGGTCTCCTTCTCAGCGTCGTCTTTGCGTCCCTTCAGTGATTTATGATGATGATGGTTCTGTGTCCATATGTTGTACCTGAGTCGGATATGATATACCCAAATACTCTGCTATGGCGATAATACATAATGTGGGGGCGGGAGCATCGTCTATAGCATTAGGAGCTTACATGTGTTACGATGAGATTCAGAATTTTCAGCGCTTTTTAAAATCCCGACACGCTGCTCGAGCATTCATCAATAAATGCGATGCAGGTTTTTCCAACTTCCCATGTCCTCTAGCATGGGGGATCGATCATCCGCTACAATATCAACACCCGTTTCCGCTCTCCCATCTCACAACCAATCCTGGCCCCTGGCCTTCCTCCCAGCCGCCGAACTCCGATACATGCCCGCCTTGGCCGTCCTGCCGCCCATGCGCACCAAGCCGGCCAACTGCTGCACGCCCGCCAACACGCCATCCACGACCTGCACGTCCTCGCCGACGGCCTCCTCGACCGCGGCCTTCAACGGCGTCATGCCCGCGCAGCCCAGCGCCAGCACGTCGGCGCCCGCCGCCACCAGCCGCCGCGCCACGCCGCACATGCGGCCGACGACCTCGTCCTGGCCCAGCTCGTGCAGGTCCAGCACGCCGAGCCCGCAGCTCTCGACGCCCGCGCAGAACCCCCCGAGCCCGTAGTGCCGCACCGCGTCCTCGTGCATGGCGCGCGAGCGGCCGCTGACGGCGACGATGCCGAAGCGCTGGCCCAGCGCGCGCGCGGCGAAGTACAGCGAGGACTCCATGATCCCCACGACCGGCTGCCGCGCGGGCAGCTCCTCGCGCAGCATGCGGATCAGCGCGTGGTCCGAGTAGCACGCGACGAGCACGGCGTCGTGCGCGGAGGCGAGCGGCAGCGCGGCGCGGAAGGCGGCCGCGGCGGAGAGGATGTTGTCGACGTTGCCTTCGACGGCGGAGGGGCCCGGGGGAGGCGTGGTGAAGCCTGTGAGGAGGACGTCGGGCGGGAGTTGGGCCTGGCAGAGGGAGACGCAGGCGTCGGTCATGGATTTGGTGCTGTTGGGGTTGATGAGGAGGATGCGGATTTTCTTGTTGGTTGGGGGTGTCGCGGCGCCGTTGGTTGTCGATGGCGGCGGCGGCTGCTGCTGGGGGTCGGAGGAGGAGTGGGCCAGCTTGGGGGGCTCGATGACGCCGGTCTGGTCGGTGATGCGGGCGTAGTGCTCGACGCGGCGGTGGCGGGCAAAGTCGAAGGTGCGCTCCTTGCCCGGGCGGCATTGGTCGAGGTCGCAGTCGGCCACGACGAGCTCGTCCTGGTCGGCGGTCGTCGCCTCGGCCAGCAGCTCGCCCTCGGGGCCGGTGATGCAGCTGCCGCCGATGAGGTCGTAGCGGCCGTCGTCCAGGCCGCAGCGGGCGGCGCTGACGGAGAAGCAGGCGTTGGTGTAGCTGTGGGCCTGCATGACGAGCTTGTGGTGGAAGAGGGCCTTGCGGCGGGCGTCGTCCGGGCTCATGCTCTTGTCCGACCCCCACAGGTGCGGCGCGAAGCCGGCCGTGTTGTAGCCGCAGTACACGACCTCGACGCCCTGCAGGCCCAGCACCCGCCAGCTCTCGGCCCAGCGCCGGTCGTTGCAGATCATCATGCCGAAGATGGGGTCGCCGCGGTCGCCGCGGTCGCCGTGGCCGCCCTCGGCCAGGTCCGGCACGCGGAAGGCGTTGAAGCCCAGGTCGCCCGGCTTGAAGTAGCGCTTCTCCAGCTGGTTGGTGGCGTCCGGGTCGGCGAAGGGCTCGAAGTCGCCGGGGAGGTGGACTTTGCGGTACTTGGACAGCACGGAGCCGGAGCGGGCGTGGAAGTAGATGCAGGCGTTGAACGTCTCGCCCTCGTCCGTCTTTTCGGCGAAGCCCACGGCGATGTCGACACGCAGGTCGCGGGCGCGGTCGAACAGCGGGCGTGTCTGCGGCTGGGTGGTGACGTCGCCGTGCTCGAAGAAGGAGTCCAGCTCGGCCGGGTCGTTGATCAGGTGGCGCGGGAAGAAGGTGGTGAAGGCCGTCTCCGGGAAGAGCACCGACTGGACGCCTTTGGTCGCTGCCGAGTCCAGCAGGGCGAGCATGCGGTCCAGCGTCTTGGAGCGCGGGTCGTTGTAATGGGTTGCGCCCATCTGGGCCGCGGCGAGGCGGATGACGCGGGGCATGGCGGCGGTGTTGGGCGGCGCTGGCGATGTGATCAGTTGCGCGTGGAATCGACAGCCGGTGGCCGGGCTCTTCGCGACATATAGCCCAATTCTCTCAACGACTGGTGGCGGGGAGCTCACGATAGGCACGGCATCGCGAGGGTCGTGGCGCTATCGCGAGCATGCGGCAACCCCGCGGCGGGCGGCGTCGATCGCAGGCGCATGGTCCCGGGCGGTTTCAGATTGGACCCAGAGGCACGGTTCGTGATAGCCGATAGGACGCGAGGGAGCGATGCGGGTGAGCAAGCCGGGGTGGTGTTCGGGCGTGCGTCGTTGTGGCCGAGCGATAGCATGGCCTATCTATTCTTTCCTTATCGCCCCAGCCCTCTCCACCACTCATCGCCATCACGACCAACACCATGGCCCGCCCTGCATCAGACACGTTCCCCGGCCCTGTCGCTGCCTATACTAACATGAGCCCGCTGCCCTGCCGCTCCCGCCACAACCAGCCCGAGCCTTCGCCCACCAGCTGAAAATGATTGCAAAGGTCGACGTCGACCTCATCGTGCAAAATGCCACCGTGGTGCGTACTGTGAGCCCGACTGTCGTCTCGAATTGAGCCTGACCCGTCCGTCAGGTCACTGCTTCAGACGTGCTCCCCAAGCAGGACATTGCCGTCCGCGATGGCAAGATCCTGCTGCTTGGCCAGAACCTGACCTCTCTGTTCTCCGCCACCGAGATCATCGATGCTCAGGGCGCCTTCGTGACCCCTGGAGGCGTCGACTCGCACGTGCATCTTCATCAGGACAACTCGCCCACCGGCGACAACTTCGAGACTGGATCCCGTTCAGCCATTGCCGGCGGCACCACGACCGTCCTGGCCTTTGCCTCCCAAAATCGCAAGGACGAGTCCCTTTATCCTGTCGTGGACGAGTACCACAACAGGGCACGCCATCAGTCCTACTGCGACTATGGCTTCCACCTCATTCTCACCAATCCGACCAAGAAGATCGTGGACGACGAGTTGCCCGTCTTGGTCGCAGACGGCATCAGTTCCGTCAAAATCTACATGACCTACGAGCCCCTGAAGCTCCGAGACCGCGAGATCCTCGACATCATGATGAGCACGCGGGCGCTGGGCATGACCACCATGGTGCACGCCGAGAACAGCGACATGATCTCCTGGATCACCGACCGCCTGGCCGAGCAGCACCTCACCGCCCCCTACTACCACGCCATCAGCCGGCCCTCCATCGCCGAGGACGAGGCCACCTACCGCATCATCGCCTTGTCCGAGCTCATCGACATCCCCATCCTGATCGTGCACATGTCCAGCCGCACCGCCGCCGCCCACGTCCGCCAGGCCCAGACCCGCCTGCTCCCCATCCACGCCGAGACGTGCCCGCACTACCTCTATCTCACGTCGGACGCGCTCAAGTCGCACGACGAGTCCGACCCCTTCGAGGGCGCCAAGCACATCTGCAGCCCGCCCCTGCGCGCCGACCGCATGGACCTGGACGCCATGTGGGCCGGCCTGGTCAACGGCACCTTCACCACCTTCTCGTCCGACCACGCCCCCTCCAAGTACGACCACCCGTGCGGCAAGAAGCTCGGCCTCTCGCCCACGGACGGCTCCATGCACTACGCCAAGGTGCCCAACGGCCTGCCGGGGCTCGAGACGCGCCTGCCCACCCTCTTCGAGGGCGGCGTGCTGACGGGCCGCGTCTCGCCGCAGAAGTTCGTCGAGCTGACGGCCGCCAACCCGGCCAAGCTGTACGGCCTCGGCGACCGCAAGGGCGCCATCGCCCCCGGCTTCGACGCCGACCTCGTCGTGTGGTACCCCACCCCGGAGCAGATCCCCAGCGGGTCCGCCATGGGCGGTGCGGGCACAGCCGCTTCCGCGGACCCCTCGTCGTCGTCGTCGTCGTCGTCGTCGGTGTCGTGTGAGCCGTTCGCCCTGACGAACGCGATGCTGCACCACGACATCGACTACACGCCGTTCGAGGGCATGCGCTTCTCCAACTGGCCCCGCTACACCATCCTGCGCGGCAAGGTCGTCTGGGATCGCGACGGCGGCGGCGTCGTCGGCGACAAGGGCTTCGGCGCGTTTTTGAAGCGCGGAAGGAGCACCTTGAGTAAGCCGCGGGACGCCTGGGTCAACGAGTTCAGGCCGGGTGGGAAGGTCAGGGTGGCTATGGAGGGGGGTAGGACGGCGCCGGCGTTGGATTAGGGGCCGGTAGGGGGGTGGGGAAGAATTCACTGAGAGATGGATCTTCGTGCGTATGAGTGTGAGTTGTTTTGCTGAGAGAAGGTTTAGATTGTATGTACTTCTCGGTAGTTAGAGAATGCCCAGTAACTGATGACTTATGACACAGAAGAAAAATCGTCTGAGAATATTAAACGACGTGGCGAGATGGCTCTTTGAGGCCTTGGTCCGTACGAGAGTCATGACAGAGTTGAGCATGAGGCAATGCAAAGTGAGAGATTGAAATGAACATTCCAAATATGTGCTTTCCCTCTTTTTGGGTCTCATACCTAAAATGCGTGCGGGGATCTAGAACTTGGAAGAAATACCCATCACAACACAGTTACACTGAATGGGCGTTGACACCGCAATAGGTTACAGAAGCTTTGGGCCTTCTGAAGTCGACAGTGAAAGCAATCTCCAAACGTACATGTCAGTTTCAAGACTGTACATGTGCATCCAAACATCGGACTTAACGACATATGCAGGTAGGACATAGGTAGAATATCCATGGGCTCAATTGTTTTGCAACCCGCTGTGAAGCTTGCAGACCGACTAATCTGTGCATGTTTTGTCACCCCGTCAGTGATTGCGAGAGGACGTCTTCTCGATACCCGCTTCTCCTTCACTTCTACTCTATTTGTTTTCGCGTTTAGAAATGTTTTCGACCGTCCGCATGCAGTGCATATGGAAGAGCATTCCAAATATCAGCCAGGGGCTGACGCCATATGTATGACTTTGTTTCGAGAGCACAGCCTCGCGGGATACCCATACCGTCGCGCAACCTCCAGAGACACGGCTCCCATGAGACATTATCCCGAGGTCCAGAGGAACAACCCAAAGGTCATCAGTCAATATGCCTGTTTCGGTGCACAATCACGCCATCATTGCGGAACCATTTCCGAAAATAAGCTTCGGTCAAGAGCGGAGAAGACTAAGGGATCGCCAGGGTCTCATTAGGACGGAAGTGGTGCCGAGGAGTAATGCACCATTTTGCACCAATCAAAGCCGGAGGGCGGTATTTGAAGTGTGTATGGTGTTTTGGATGATCTAGACGCGCCCACTCTCTCGTCTACGTCATGTGCATTCTGCTATCATCTCCCTATTACCGTCTTCGTAACTAACATCATTGATTTCGTCACTGCATTTTGAACTTCCATCGTCGATCGGGGAACGTAAGGACAAACAGAATCCGGAAACATCCCGCCCGACTACAACCACCATATAAAAAAAAGGAAAATTTGAATGCGCAACAAATGACAGAGATCTTGGCAGGCTCATGAAAGATACCAGGTGAGCTCCACCTCAGGCATCCGAACCACAGAAAAACGGTCCGATGAAGATAGGTACAGAGACAGATTGGCTCAGCTCCTCCCAAGGGAAATGGTCAAGAAAAGGAACAGCCAATGTGTGGAGGCCGCTAGTGTCATGGGAACGCATCGCCACGCAGTTACACATAAGTAAATATGGTAAGGGAACCATGCAAGTGAAATGAAAGCACGAAAAATGTAAAGATAAGACAAGACATAAGGAGACACTCTGCAGCGCCCGAGACGCATGTAGAGCAGGAATCAGCCGCTGATGTCTCCGCCGTCTTTCTCTGTGCGAATGAGACATCTAATGCGCTCCCTATCAAGATATGCAGAAATGATATGAACACCAAAACCAAAAAAAGAAAAGGTGACCAATCCACTTTTAAACCCAACAACAGTGAAACTGTAACAATGTTGTCCATGCCATATTCGAACGCAATCTCCATAATAGGAGATACTTTGAAAAGCCCAATTGATGTGTCCATAACGCCAAACTTTACCGGAGTCAACAGTACATGCGACCTTTTATCTTTCGCCGCTAAGAATCTTGGCTCTCTTTTTCTCGACCAATTTTTTGAGCTCCGCAAATTTAACCGGCTTCGCGAGGTAATCGTTGATTCCACTGCCCATTGCCTCTTCCTGGGCTTGGGCAGACGCCAAGCCAGTCAATGCCACAATCTTGGCTGGCATAACGCCCTTTTCGTGTTCGTATCTCCGAATCTCTCGGGTGCTTGCAAGGCCATCCATGACAGGCATCGAGATATCCATCAGGACGAAGTCGAAGCTCTTGAAACCCTCCGGGCTCGAAGTGTGCTGCGATGTGGGTTTCACCGCCATTGTGGCATCCTTGTAACGCTCAAAAGCCTCGAGCCCGTTCGTAGCTTCGGTATAAGCGAACTTGTGTTTCTTCATGAACATGACCAAGAGCTGCAAGTTGATCGGGTTGTCGTCGACGACAAGGATCCGGAGGTGCGGGTTATCCATAGAGCTGGGGTCGCGATTAAGCGCGCTCTCAGACGGGGTCGGCGCGATGGCCGTGGCATGATTGGCAGAAGACGCGGTGATAGCATCCCGAAGAAGCGATCTCTCCGGAACCTCAAGGCCAGAGTTTTCCTCACTCCCACTCATACTGCGTGAGACCACGTTCCGATGAGGTAGGGGAGGTGCCTGGCCAGGATGGTACCCGTTCTCCTGGTCACGGAGAACTGCTGGCGCTGAGATTGCTCGGTTGCATGCCGGTTTGCTTTTCGATTCCTCAAGGTGCTTCAGACAACTCGAAATTATCCTTGCTAGCTTGCGCGGACCACATCTGGCTAAGTTTTAGTTGCAAGTCTGTCATAACAACTTGAAACGGGGCCAAAGACTTACGGTTGTGAAACAACATTGACATGCCGCCCAAGGGCTTGCAGCCGGTGTTCCTCTCTAGACTTGAGTGCAATCTCCTCGCTCGGATTCCTGCACACTATCACGAGAGGTGCGGTGCCGCTCTTACTGGCATGGAACTCGAATAATTTGTCCACCAGAGAAGGCTCGGTGACGAAAAAGATGTCGGCATCAATGCCTTGCAGCGTGGTAGATTCGTTGACATCCATCTCGAACCAGTTATAGCAGGTGTCCCGGAATGAGGAGATAAGGCGGTAGTCTTCTCCGCTGAAGGTTTCGGTCTTGGAGGCCTCGGGTATAAGCAGGCAAACCGTCATGCCCCTTGTCGAGACGGCGGCAGGCATGATAGTACTCTCGGGATCCTTTGCCTGTTGCGCTGACAGGGGCAAAGACAGGAAGACGTTCACTTCGGTGCCGACATCCTTGGTGCTCTTCACATCTATCGTTCCACCAAGCGAGTCTATGATCTGGCGGACAATGCTGAGGCCTAATCCCGTCCCGACAGCGAATGGGTCCTCCTGGGAAAATGGTGAGAACAAGCGAGTCCTTTGATACTCGACGGACATTCCGATTCCAGTGTCAACGATGCGGAGATGTGCCTCTAACCTGGTAGGGTCGGAGCTTCTTGATGCGTGCAAATTGACGATGACGTGGCCTGATGTTGTGTATTTGAGGGCGTTGCCCAACAGGTTCATGACGATTCGTCGCAAGGCTCCGGGTTGCGTTTTGACGTTCCAGCCCCCCATTGGGTGAACATTGAGAAGTATGGTGACTCGACCTTCTCGATCCTCGGTGGTCGGCGGAACGTCGACGGAATCTTTGACAAATGCGTCGGACGTCGAGCGAAACGCTTTGATTGCTGGGCCAGAGTCATGGAATGCTCCAGCATGGGCCTTCTTGAACGCATCGCCTGCACAAACAGCCTCAACCACTTCCTCGACAAGTGCACTAAGGTCGAATTCGGCAGTAACACCCATGACTGAGTTGTCATTTCCATTTGGAATTTGTTTTTGACGTGTTTCGTGCTTCTTTCGCTTGTGACTTCTCCCAAGCTTGTTGATCTTGGCGTAGTCGAGGACATGGTCGATGGTGTCCAACAGAGTTTTGCCGCAGATTTCAATAGAGGTAAAAAGCGATGCCTGATATGACGTGCCCGCGGTTTCGTGCAGGAACTCCACGCTTCCTAGAATACCGTGAAGAGGTGAACGAAGCTCATGGCTGATGGATGCGATGAAAGTGGTCTTTGCTCTATCCGCCTTCTGCGCATTGACTCTTGCAACCTCGCTCATGATGCTGTTGCTGAATGCCTTGAGATACGGTAGTTCGTTGTCTGGACTCATCAGACGGCCAGCGGTTGATGTCCAGATGAAAGCACCAGCAACCCATCGTTCGACCGTCGGATCCCACATGGGCAGGAAGATCAAGCTTCTGATACCGGGCAAGACCTTTAGAAGCTCGGTAGGGATCAGCTTCTCCTTCTTCTTTGGCTTTTTAGGATGATCCGTAGTCGAAATTGCAGCACGGCCTGCTTTCACGTGCTCAGGGTCAGATTTCTCATCTGATGAGATACCCGCTCCTTGGTCCGTGAAGCTGAAGAATTTGCCATGGGGAAATCTCTTGATGTAACGTTCCATACTGCGCTCCGTGAAATTGAAGTTTTTTTCACTGAGCGGTTCTTCCCGCATGGTGTAGGGATCTGTGGCCAGTCCCACCACCTCGCATATTTTGTCCAAGCGAGCATTATGCTCACCTTCCATGGCGGCTGCAGCCTCCTTGGATATGCTTGAAACAGACCCGGGAGACTTCCTAGACCTTCGAGGCAGCCTCTGGTCACCCGAACTCGAAGGCGGTCCGCTGTCGGAAGTCTGTGAATCATCACTTGGATCGGCAATGCCTCCAGTGGGGTCGTTTGGTGAGGTCTTAATGTCGCTTGAGACAGTGCCAAAGAAGACGACGCCGTCGGCGCCCGTCGAGGAGCGAATGATGTTCGCTGCTCGGTGGAAAACCTGGCCAACGTCGTCTTCGTGCTCAGTCCTCTCGGGTTTTGCAATGCTCACAGGCAGAGTTGACGAGGAAAAGGATGGGCCGCGAGTGGGCCTGGGGAATTCCCTGTCCTCGATACGCGAATTCTCAGTCTGCCTCTTCAGCGTGGCCGAATGGGAGCGAAATGAGGGGGTGCGCATGACGGAGGTAGCTCCAAACACGTCCTCGGACGGTTTGGGCGCAATGGTCGGGCTGAGGTGTGCTGACACTGGCTGCTCCGGTTCGACCGTCACACCCTCGATGAAATCGGCCAGGCCTCGCACCATTCTCTCTCCCTTGTTGCGGTCATCCCTGTCCTTTGCCATTTCCAGATGTTCCATTACGGTAGCCGCCACGTCCTGCATAAACTTGAACTCGTCAACGGTCAAGCCATGGCGGGGTTTCTCGTCGGACACGGAGTAGGCGCCGATTCGGTGGCCAGCCTTGGTTCTGATGGGGACACCGGCGTAGAAACGGACGGCCGGCTCGCTCTTGACGTACTCGCGGTCCTTGAAGCGGTCGTCGAGACGCAGGTCGGAAATGACCAGACCCTCCCCCGTGTAGGTGCTGCCGTCGTCGTCCGTCGCAGTGTACCTGGAGCCGAACAGGTTCTCTTCAACACCGTCGTTCCGCGCAATGACGGTCTGGCCGAGCCATATTTCGTCGCCGGGGCCATGGCGGAGGTCGTCGATCAGCGAGAGTGTCTTGGTGGCTTCGGAGAGGATGTACTGCTGGTGAGCGTCGACGAGCGAGACCATGGCGCGGCGGACACCCAGGCGCAGGGCGGCCAGCTGGGCAAAGGCCGTGAGAGCCTTGTCGCGCGAGGGCTGGGCGCGGAAGCCCTTGTAGGTCAGCGCGAGGCTGGCGCCTTGGCTGTTGACATTGACGAGGCTCTGGGCGTCCAGCCAGGGCTGGTAGTACCTGTATGGGGGTTATCAGCGTGATCGGCCGGCCCAGGTGTTGATCAGACGCCACCCACCTGTGCAGGTCCCGTTCTCTGGCCGCCTCCGGATAGACTGGCAACATGGCGCTCTGAGCTGCACGCGCATCCAGAGGGTTGCGGAGAGGCGGCGGAGGGGCTGAGGGAGGATTCGGGGTAGCGCAGAGGAGCAGGCGCTCGCGCAAAGGTCGGCGGGCTGGGAGAGAGGGCGCCCAGACGGCACCGGGCAAGTGGTCCAGAGTGTCAGGCCGTTGCCAGTAGTGGGCCAGGGAGCGCACCCCGGCCGACAACGACAGCGTCCCAAAGCGGGCTTCCGATCGAGCGGCAGATTTCTCGCATCCGTGGCCACCGTGCCCCCCCGTGCTCCGCGGGTCGAATTGCCGAGCCCGGACAACGTCACCGTAGCGGCCAGCGCGCCGCGGCCCGCCGCCGAAAGCTGCTAACAAGCGTTAAGACGCATCGTCGCCTACCGCTAGCAGCACTCGAGCGAGGTCGCGACCCGGGCCCGGAAGCGCGCCCGTCCCGAACCCTGCGCCTCTTCGCCCGTCGCTGTGGGTTCGCCGCAAGCCCGCAACCGCCGTGGACCCTGTGCCGGGCCGACTGCGCGCCTGCTGCGACTCACGCGGCGGCGCGCGCAGCAGCAGCGGCGGCAAGCAGCCCGGTGTGTGTACGGGAGCATCCTTGTGCGGCGCCGGATGCTCCCCACGGTCGGTGGCCACCAGTTGGCTGTGCGACGCATGCGAGTCATGGCCGGGTCCGGGGTCTGTGTGTCTGTGTGGCCCTTATCACCGGTGGGCTGTGATACCTATGGCCGCGACAATTGCACCACCGCCTACCACCGCCTACCACCGCCTACCACTGACCCAACCCATCCGCCTCGCACCATGCTGACCCTCCATGGCCGACCAGCAGCCCGACGACCGCGCTCGCCCCTACAAGAGCCGGAGCAGGCGCCCCTGTGACTTCTGCCGCTACAAGCGCGCTGCCTGCCTGCTCGCCGCCGCCCCGCCCTGCGAGCTATGCGCCCGCCATGGCAAGCAATGCACTTTCGTTGAGAATCCCGCCAAGCGCAGGAGGTGCAGCTCTGACCACGGCGTCCACACCGACTCGCCGACGTCGCCTGTTGCCGCCTCCCCCGCTCCCTCGCGACTGCTGCCTGCCGACGCCCGTGCCTCAGCAGTCACCCAGCACTCAACTCCCCCGGAGCCAGCCCTTCTCCTCGCCTCTGATCCCGCCCATGATCCTCCTCACGAACCCTCGTCCTTGGATGCTGCGACCGGCCACAATGCGCAGATCGTTGGTCTGAGCGGCGAGTCGGACCCTTATCTCCTGCGCCTCTACCGTTTTGACGACAGCGACCAATGCCCCTTCCAGCAGCTGAGCATCCGGAACGTCGGCCTGAGCGACGGTGTGCCCGTCCAGTTCATGGTGCAAGACAACTACTTGGCCAGCAAAGCCCAGCCAGCCGACTTTGGCAAGAGCGTGTCTGCCATCCGAGATGAGATCACAGCCATGGTCGAGAACGACGTGGGAAAGAGGCTTGTTCGATTGTGAGTAGGATGGAACGACCCCCTTTGATCTTCTTCTGCCGGCCATCCGTCATCCCCGCCGTGTGCAGCAGACCGGTTAGGACACCACGGCTCATTCCGCAGGTTCTTTCGCTATGTTCAGCCGTACTTTCCTGTCCTATCCCACGAGCGCATCGTTCGGACAGCGGATTGCGATCCTGGCGCCATACCCACATGCTTATTGGCCGCGATATACGGTCACGCACTGCCGTTTTGTGTCTTTGATGACAGACTCTGTGTGCAAGTCTACCAGCCTCCCTCTCCGGACGATCTCTTCCAGCTGGCATGGCAATCTGCACTTCCTCAATATCACACCCCTTCTTTGTCCGTAGTCCAGACCCTCTTACTCCTGGTGCAGCGTCGACCTACAAATCGACACGTGGCCGACACCCCTTTTAAGTGGACCATGATGGCCGAGATATTCGCTCTCGCCCAAACGCTGGGACTCAACATTGATCCTTCAGGCTGGTCTATTCCTCACTGGGAGAGAAGGCTCAGGCGACGCCTTGCATGGGCCGTATACGTTCAGGACAAGTGGTTGAGCCTGAATTTCGGACGGAGCTCGCACATCCAGATGGATGACTGGGATGTCGAGCCCCTGAGTCAGGACGACTTTGACGATGCAGGCTCAACCCAGTTCGCTCTCTGTAATCACTTTCTGCATTTGGTAGCTCTGACGCAGATCGTTGCCCAGATCCAGTCGAACTTGTTGTAAGGTCACTCGAACATGGGTTTGCACATGGGATTTTGACTCTCGAGTAGTTCTCTCAAAGCTACGCGCTATCTTTCCGGCTCATTGGAAGCAACATTCGACGCAGCAAAGCCGCTCAGGATAGCCCTTGCGGATTGGTCCCAAGCACATCCGCTCGTCGCTGCCCGAACATCTGCATCGCAGGACCTAGATGGCAACGGAAGTCTCCGCCTTGCGTATATTACAGCCAAGGTTAGCATTTTCCGTGCCCTTTTGAGGCCTAAGATCTCGGAGGCATCTACGGGAGCAAGAATTGCATTGCGGATCGGCGCCATCGGCGTGGCGCGTGAGATGTACGATTTCCTCTCGGGACTGGAAACACACCATCTCGAGGCATTTTGGCATTCCTGTAGGTCTCGTGCCTGACCTTCTCGAACCACAGCTGTCAGCTAATTCAGGAACAGACTCACGTGTGAATTTTGCAATTGCCAGCAATTTCATGGTGTTGCTCTTCGCCTCATCTTTGACAGAGACTGACGCCCAGGAGTCGCTTACTTTGCTCAACAGATGGCGTAACCTCCTCAGGATCAAGTCGAGAAGCTGCAATCTGTTAAACCTGAGCCTGCTGCGGCTAGACGCCATGTACGTTGCGGGATTGGATCGGCTTGTGGAACTGTCTCCGGCCGCATCGTCAGCCTTTTCACGAAGCAATGACAGTATCGAATAATGACGCGGGTCTGTGCAATGTACAACATTGCTGGGTCACCCTTTGTTGCTGTGCCTCATGTGGCGCCTGTGCGTCTCACTGGCTGTCGATCTTGCACCGTATCCTGCACATTTCCCCCTCCTGTGGGTCGCAGAAACGGTGCCTGATGCACTCGGACCATGCCGAACTTGACACTCGTCGGCAGTGTTTCAAAGCGATGGGGAAACAAGTCGCATCCTCCGGCTGTGCTTCGGGCCTTCTTCATCACCTTGGCCCGTGCATACCCACGTGTGACTCGGATCTCTTCCGTAAACCAACACGCCGGCCGGCCTACCCAGGTTTTCCGGACTAAACTCCGCTAGCATGCTGGACAAGAAGCGAGATTGACGGTGGAGACTGCCGTATAACCGGGACGACTTTGGGCTGTAACGCAACCGCTCAGTCTTCTACGATTCTCACAATTAATCTAATAATTTCATTACATCGTATCTGCCTGCCTGCAATCAGCTAAACTCCAGGGTCCGTGGTCACCTTCGCGTCCTGTGTCTTTCCAATCACCGAGTTCGTCTCTTCCGGCGTGTATGTTCCCGCCTCGCTGCCATCGATGTACAGTTCCCTTGTTTCATCAATCGGGAATGGCTTAATCTTCCAGCCCAGCCAGTAGACGAAGCCTGCAACAACAGTGCTCACCAACCAGCTTAAGCTGTAGAGGTACGTTGCGCCCACCGGGACTCTGCTCTGGCCGCACGCAGCTGCTAACCCAGGCAAGTTCGGTGCAATGCCGCAGATGAATGCTACCACTGCGCGAACATTTACCCCGCCAGTATACCAATGGGTGCCGCGAGTGCTGTAGAGCGATGAGATTGAGAGGCGGCGCGAACGGCAGATCCAGAAATCCACGCAAATGATGCCAGCAATGGCGCCCAGGAACAGCGAGTAGCCGCCTAGGAACGAAGAGAAAGACTTCGCACTAAGCACGATGCTGTCAGTAACGAATGCTCAGAGCGTCTTCTCTGGGAGGAGGTGTACACATACTTGTACTGAATATTCCACGGGACGGCGCAAATGCCAAGGATCGCGCAGACGTACGCACCGCGGCGGTTGTTGACATATTTAGGGAACCATAGCGCCAGGTCGTTCGAGAAGGAGACGCTGTTTGCCGAGATATTGGTTCCAACGACGGCGAAGGCCCAGCAGAGTCCGGCGAAGAACTGAGCCGCGCGGTTGTTCCACAGCACGGCCACTTCCAACGGATTCCAGGTCACCTCTCCGTAGATGACTTCGGCGGCGGATGACACGGTTGCGCCGAGGACGCCGCACATGGTGACGAGAACGATCAAGCCGACAGCCTGTGTCCAGAAGACCTGGCGCGGGTACTTGGCGTATCGTGTAAAGTCAGGCATGTTGAGTGCCAGCGTCGCCTTGGGACCGATGGCGGTTGTCACGCACTGGAAGAAAACGACGGCGACCGGCGTGCCGTCTTTGATTTGCGTGGGCTTCGAAAACGTAGGGCCGAAGCCGTGAGCTTGAACCGAGTCAGCGTCAGCAACTGAAGCATGCGTCTGGCTGCGGAAGTGCGACTGTAGACACGGCTATTACGCCCAACGCATGATGAAGGTGATATGGAAATCTGCCAATGGATGGCACTCACCAGCCACAAGAGCCCAGATGAACAAGGTCAACCCAAATACCGGCATCACAATCGTTTTCGCCATAAACATGTACCGAAGACTTGACACATGCAGCCACAGTAGCGGCAGCTGAAGGATGATGAACAGGAAAAAGCACAGAAGCTCCGCACTGGTGACGTGGGCGCTTTCGGGCAAGCGGTTGGGGAAGTTGTTGAAGCTCGGCCAGATTGCTGATATCATGATCTGAAGGCACTGGCCGCCCTGAAAGGACTGCGTCCCGAACCAAATGCAAGCGACGACGCCGCGCACAAAGACGGCGAAGTACGAGCCCCGCATGCCCCAGCTGGCGCGTGTAAAGACGGGAAAGTTGATACCGAAGACGCTGCCCACATAGCCGTCGAGCATGGCCGGGATGCACACTATGAGGTGGCCGATGAGGACGGCGAGGATGGCGAGGCCCGGGTTCAACCCTTTGGAAACGGACGTGGACGAGACTATTTTGCTCATGCTCGTTAGTCAAAGTTCGTTCTGGGACGTTCAAGCGTCCTACCTTGATACATGGAAATCGAAAAGGCCTCGGCGACCCAGAATCCCAGTAGACTAGGCCATGTCCATGTCCGCTGCGGCGAACCCAGGGGTACGGGGTCGAGGTCCTTGTTCGACACTGGACCTTCTCCCGCCGTTCCCAGCTCAGGGTTATCCGAGAACAGCTCGAAGCGCTTGCGGAGACCCATTGGCACTGTTTGGACTTTGCCCGACAGGGTGCTTTGAGAATTGAAGGAGTAGGGCCAGTGCGAACAGAGCAGTTCCAGATCAGCAGGGCAACAGGCGACTTTTTGAGCACTGATTGCAGGTCCCAGGCCTTATCGACACTATCGCAGGGCTGTTTGGTGAGCACATGGATATTGGGAGTGCCGTGTCGGGCGGTCTCGGACGTGGATGTCCCGGCGCTGGGGTGTCGAGAACATGGCAGGGTTGCCCTATCGCTCCGCCACCAGCACGGGTAGCTGGGCGATAAGCCGAGAGACACTTATCACCTGCGTATCAGCCACCGCGAGAAAGCCGCACAGGATGCGGGGTCATTGTCCAGTGCTTCGATCGGCCAAAATGCCGTCCTGGAAAGCGCAGGTGCTACTTTGTCTGCACGGTGTTGAGCAATCGGGGCGCGCCCTGACGCAATTTCGACTTTTGTAAATAGAGGCGTGCTTGACACTCGACCGCACTGTCCTGCTGGGTCCAACTTCTCCCATCTACTATCTTTCAGTCAACATGGCGCCCGTTGCATTGGCCGACCTTGGGCCAGAGCCCGTGCCTCCAATCACAGATCCCAGCGTTTTCCCTCCAGAAGATGCCGACGAAAGACTGAAGAAATTGTGGAACTTGCACGGCCACCCGCACAGCAAGAGGTACTCAGTTGGCATTCTAAGCGTCCTTGGAGGGATTGTCCTGCTTACGTGGGAACCAGGTTCGCCAATCCGGAGCTCACGAGTTTGGCCGCACTGGTCAAACACAACGCAGCCACACAGCCTTCGCAACCAGCGTTTCTGCATCCACAGGGGGAATCATTTGCCATCATCGATTGGGAGACGTTCGACAGGCTGGTTACCGCCGCAGCCACACAATATGCAGCCACGTTCCAGACGGATATCAACGCGGCAAATGAGCACTCACGGCAGCCCACTGTAGCTCTGCTGGGCACCGGCAACACCATCGACTATCTGGTAACGCAGATAGCACTCGTCAAACTACACATCCGAGTGCTGTTGCTGAGCAACAAGAACGCCCCAGCCGCGCGAGAGCACCTGCTCCAAGCATGCGACGCCGTTGGCATCATCGCCGACCAAACCAACGCAGCCACCCTCTCCGCTGAGAATTGCCCTCGCCCACGCCACCCCCTGCTCACCTTGCAAGATCTGGAAGCCGCCCTCGAAATCCTGGCCAGCGAACCCCCCAAAGGCTTCTCCACCGACGACGAATGGAACCTCCAGGCCATGATCATCCACTCATCCGGCTCGACGGGGCTGCCCAAGCCCATCATCCACACCAACAGGAGCCTCTGCCTCATCGCGCGCATGTACCGTCTATTCCCCGACTTCGTCATCGAAAACTGGTACCTCTGCTTCCCGCTCTTCCACATCGCCGGCGTGTCCGTCGCGCTCAGCGGCCTGCCCACGGGGCTCCCCACCACCCTCCCGCCCACCGCCTGGCCCCCTTCTCCCTCGTCCATCCTCGCCGCCTTCGCCGCCCTCGCCGCCCTCGGCCTCCCCGCCGACTGCCTGCACTGCGCGCCCAGCGTCATCGCCGACCTGCACGCCCGCATCGCCGCCACCACCGCCGACTTTGCGCCCCTCACCGCCCTCAAGGTCCTGCAGCCGGGAGGCGCGCCGCTGGCGCCGTCCCTGCTCGCCGCGCTGAATGAGTTGGGCGCCAACGTCAAGACGACGTACGGCTCGACGGAGATCGGGCCGCCGTTCAGGACGGTGCCGCACACGCGCGACAATCCGTGGTGTTATCGCGTGCGGAATCTGTATCCGGAGTCGCCGTTTGTGAGGATGGAGGCGGTGGGGGAGAAGGAGGAGAAGGAGAACGGTGACGGCGACGGCGACGGAGGCGCCCCCCGCCTGTTCGAGTGCGTCGTGTACAAGGGGTTCGAGCTGGCGGCCGAGCTGTGGCTGGCGCCCGACGCGCCCGACGCATACCGCACGGGCGACTTGTTCGTCGAGGTCGGCGGCAGGGGCAGCGGCTGCTACGAGCTGCTCGGCCGCGCCGACGACGTGCTCGTGCACGACAACGGCGAGAAGACGCACGCGGCGGCGCTGCAGACGGCGCTGGAGGAGAGCGGCGGCGGCCGTGTCGTCGCCAAGGCTGCTGTTTTTGGGAGTGGCAGGCCTTGCGTTGCGGCCGTTGTGGAGGTTGCGGCTGGAGCGAGGGAGCGTGGTGGTGGTGGTGGTGATGGTGATGATGAGTTGGAGAAGACGGTGTGGGACGCGGTGCGCAGGTGCAACGAGTCGGCCGCGCGCCACTCGCGCATCGACCGCGCCTTGCTGCTGGTTCTGGGCCCGGGCGAGAGCTTGCCCGTCACGCCCAAGGGGAACGTGCGGCGGAAGGAGGCGTGGAAGCTCTTTGGCGATCGCGTGGACGACATGTATGAGAGGCATCTACAGGGGGCGAGCGTTGGCGATGAAGATGGCAGCGCCGACGGCGCCGCTCTGTCCGATGTTGACTTCATCAGAGCTTGCGTGGCGCAGGTCTGCCAGCGGAAGGTGGAGCATGTCGAGCCAGCGACAAGCTTCTACGATTTGGGGCTCGATTCTCAGGGTGCCATCAAGCTCCGGTCGAGGCTTGTGAAGCGCTTTGGCGCGTTCCCGCTCATGTTCATTTTCGAACATCCGTCGTTGGAGAAGCTTCATGGCTATCTGACGGAGACGAGGTTGGACTCGAAGGCTGTCGATGCGGAAAAGGAGAGGCTTTCGTGGATCGTGAAGAAGACCGACGAGTACAAAAGCGTCATTGACGGGTGGGCGACCACTCGAACTCGACCCCGGGACCGGGAAGGCACAGGAGGCGAGGTCATTTACCTCACCGGAGCAAGCGGAGCTTTGGGGAATGCTTTGCTGGAAGTGTTCGTTCAGACGCCAGCAGTCCAGAAGGTGTACTGTGCCATTCGTGGGCAGGATCCCCTGCTAAAACTCCAGGAATCGCTCCGAAAAAGAGGCTACGCAAAAGAAATATACGCGAACAGTAAGATTTGCGCGGTGCCTTACGACATGAAGGATGAGAAGCTCGGTCTGGCACCCACGGAATACGACCAACTTCTCAATGAGGTCACGGTTGTCATCCATAATGCCTGGAAGATGGACTTCAACCAACGCGTTGAGATGTTCGAAGCGGATTGCTTGAACGGTAGGTTCAGATGCCGTATATCATCCACCTCGCGTTGGGACTGACCCTTACCCAGGGACTATGAACCTGCTTTCGTTCTGCTACGCTGGCACTCTCAAATTCTTCTCTTTCATGAGCAGTGTCGCCGCCTGCATGGGGCAAGCGGCAAACAGCCAGCTGATACCAGAAGCCCCAGTCTCCAATGACCCAATGATGGCGCTCAACACGGGCTACGCACAGAGTAAATTCATAGGTCAGTAGTTTCACGGTCATGATTCCCCGAGCCAGAACTCACCCCGGCCACAGTGGAGAAGATGACCTACCACTACGCGACCGCCCTCTGCGTGCCCGTCAAGCTCTTCCGCGTCGGCCAGCTCTGCGGCCACTCGTCGCTCGGCGTCTGGAACAGCACCGAAATGTAAGCTTCCTCCAAACCCGCCCTCCCATTTCTCCCTCGAAATCCATTGGCAGAAACCATGCATGTTTCGACCAACGTTGACAACCAAACAGGTGGCCCATCATGATCTCCACCGGACTCAAACACCTGCGCGCCCTGCCCTCGTTGCCGTCGACAACAGTAAACTGGCTCCCCGTGGACGTTTGCGCATCCAGCATCGCCTCCTCCCTCTTCGCCACCGCCGCCGCCACCGCCACCACCACCGATCCTTCCACCTACACCGTCCACAACCTTGTCAACCCATCCCCGATCTCTTGGTCGGCTTTCCTGTCCACCCTCGCCGCTGCGACTTCCTCACCCTCTTCCTCTTCCAACCCATCCACGCTCGCCTTCGGGACGGTCAGCATGCGGGAGTGGGTGACGATGCTCGAGAGAGCGGCCGAGCAGGAACGCGATGAGGTTCCGGGTCTAAAGCTTCTCGGTTTCTTCCAAGACACGGCGGCGGGAGTGGATTTGGCGGCGAAGAGCAGCGAGGAGAAGGGAGGCAAGAACGGCGAGGGCGTCGAGTTCGTGGCCGCGAGCGTGCGCGGCGCGAGGGCCGTGGATGAAGAAATGGTGAGACTGTGGTTGGACAGGTGGAGGGACGAACGGTTTGTGTAGAACGGACGACTCGAGGCGTCGTCGTCATCATCAATTCCACACCAGGTGACAAGCGCGTGAGCTCGGGAGAAGAAGCGTGATTGTGTTTGCGGACTCCAAAAACTTTTTAATGAATTTTGATCGTGGGGTATTTATATAGTCCGTCTTCCCAGCTACAAGACGTAGCGAACGGATCGAAGATGGAACCTAGAAAGCTGGTCCTCCTATTTACTCCGGATGCCGACAGATAAAACAACAAAGGTGAAAATGGAAGGGAACAAACGAAGCGACGCACAACAAAACAGGCCTCTCAGTGTTCGTGAATAAAAGATAACAATAAGACCTCGCGTTCGGCCAACCTCGAGACTAACTGTCGGATTACCAAACCCAAATGCAGAGGTCTCCCTATGTCCGCAAATTAGGTGGCTGTCACGATCTCCTATAGGTCGTGTGAAAAGTCATAACCATGTATTGGGTATAAAGTTGAAGTAAAAGGAAACACGACTGAGTAATTTATGCTGTCGAATGGAAGGGAGAAAGAAGCCAAGGGCTGATGTAGCTTATCATGCTTGAGCCTCGGTAAGTTCGACGGACTCATCCACGTCTTGGATCTCGTTGCCTCGACTGTCGACAACGATGCGGCGACCGCGCTGATCTTCAGGCGCACCATCACGAGAGGCACCAAAGTCCAACACCTATTGCGAGTCAGTGACTTCTTGCACTGGCCGATGGAAAGATATGAAACTTACCTCAATATATGTCCAACTGTTTCTCTGAACAGCTGCGACACATCTCCTCTCGTTGAACTTGACTTGCCAAACGCCGCTCAGGTCCGTTAAAAGGTCTTTGACACAATCGCCCGTCTTGACGTTCCACATCTTCAGAGTACGGTCGCTGCCACTGATGACTTTCTGGCCGTCGTGCTGGAAGCAAGTGATTGCGCCCGTGTGTGCCGTCAACGTCGCTTTACACTGGCCATTTTCAGGATCCCAGATGCGAAGCGTAGAGTCAGCAGCAGCCGAGACCAACCGCTCGTGCGAGAGATCAAGCAATCCCACGAGCGAGGTATGGCCTTCGAGGTTGAAAAGGCACGCGCCCGTGTCGAGAGACCACACCTTGACAAGGTTATCCATGGAACCAGAGATGCATCGGTTGCGGGCGTGGTCCAAAACAACGCTGTAAACCTTTGAGGTGTGGCCATTCAAACGATGCAAAACCTCGCCTGTGGATATCTTCCAGACCCGCACGCTCGTGTCGTACGAACCGCTGACCAGAGTATCACCGTGGGCAGCAATGGCGCGAACCGAGTGGTGATGTCCGGTAAGAGCGCGGATGAAGTATGGGTTCTCACGATCGTTGGTCGGTGCACCCGTCTGGAAAATGGAAGGATCGTCGATGTTTGGCAATTTCCAAACGCGCAGGCTGGAATCACGAGAGCCGGTGATGATGAGCGGGCGTTCGGGCATCATGATAGGCTTTCCTTCCCCATCTTTGCCAATCTCGGTCGGCTGGAGGATCACCAAGCAGCGGACGGTTGAAGTGTGGCCTTGGAATACCTGCAAACACTTGCCCTTTTCGATGTCCCACACGCGCACTGATCGATCCGTGGAGCCCGATACCAGGACGTTCCCCCAGTATTGGAGAGCCCAAACGCCCCCCTCATGCCCGCTGAGTCGGTTCCTGAGTGCACCGGTCTTCGTGTCGTAAACGTTGATGTTTGTGTCGTCACTCCCGGTAAGAATCTTGTCCGTGTCGAACTGCAGGCATGTAACTACATGCCGCTGATGAGCGCGGAAAGCGATGTGCTTGGGCTTCGTGTCGATATCCATCCAGCTTTTTCGAATAAGGTGGTGTCGTTGGTAAAGAGACTTGAACAAGTGAAGGTTTCTCAGGGTAGATATGCCGATGGTGGGGTTCGGGACAGCCAAGGCAGCAGCATTCGCGTAAGCGATCGGTCCATGTGCGGAGGCGAATGACGACAGCACACCCGAGGCCTGAGGCTGAGGCTTGGACGGCGACGCACTTGGGCCTTTCGTGCGGCGCTTCTTGTTGCTGGTGGCGTATTTGCTCGACGCTTTGCGCTTTGGACGCGTGCTGCCGGCAACTATTAGAGCATTCTGAGGCGATGACAGTGCAGAGGTCTCGCTGTCCGATACAGCCCCCAGCATCGACGAAGTACTGAGATCCCGTTCCCAGCTATCTTGCCCAAACTGCCAACCCCAGCCCTCTCTTATAGCCCGCTCAAGCTCGCCCTCTGGAAGCACGTATCCATCCTTGTCCAGCAAGTTTTTCCACGCTTTCTCGTCCGAGTTTATCACCTGCCGCCACTTCTTTGATACCTGCGCTGCCCTGCACATGCTTTGCGCATCAAGATGCGAAATAATGTTCAAACTCAGCTCCAAAGGAAGAAGACCAAGGAAGTCGATCTTCAAGGCGGGGTTGACGGTATTGGCGACAAAATGTAGGGTCGGCTTGGCGCAACGCCGAAGGAATTGGTACATGACGTACGTCTTTAGGTCGTCGGGCATGGCATCGAAGGCGTCAACCATGGTCGGGATGTCCATAATTGTCGGTCCAGCAACCTCCTGGTCGCTGTCCTCGCATTTGAGAGCATATGCAGATTCGGCTGACACCTGACGCTTCAAGTCAAGCTCGAGGCTCTTCGGGTCCAGCTTCTCTTCTCCTTTCTCCCGTTCGATGTCCAAGCTCGAGACATCGTTCTCGTCGTCATCGTCTTCAGCTCCGTGTAAGCCTGGGAAGTTTGCATGATGGGCCAGGTTAGCGGCCGCGGTGATCGGGGAAAGGGAGGGGCTTGGAAGGCTGGCGTCCTGCGCGGCGAGGTTCTGAAGGGAATTAGGACGGGCTGTTCGTGGACGTCTCTCAGCTTCCTCCTCGACTGGCAAAATGGGCTCCAAGTCCGTTTCGGCAATAGGCGGGGTGGCTGAAACCCCTGTAATTGCTTCGCCGATCCCCAAACCAGCAGATTGAGTATCCCGCGCATCAGCCGACTCCTTTGAGCCTGCCGAGGCATCGTTCGATGTGCGAGATCCCGAATCTCTGTTCTGCGACCGCCACTCTTCCGACATGTTTTGCAAGCTTGATAATCGCTGAACGGCGTGGTCCCGCATTGTTCCTGCTCTTGAGCCAGGTCTTCTCAGATTTGCCCGTACCTTGGGTATCTTCAACTGACCCGAGCTACCCGTATCAGTGTCCGGTGTAGCGGGTGCTGTTGTATCGAGGCAACGTGCTGCCTGGGAGGAATTATTGCGGGTAAGAGGGGGAACATCCGCTGAGCCAGCAGCGGACCGAGGCACGTTTTGGCGTGGTCTCTTGCGGCGGGACAAACTGGCTAGCTCAGCTGCTGCGGCGATAGAGACAGGCGATGCAGATCGCTTCTTGGGGTTGCAAGCAGGGGATTCCGGTGCGTCGGTGATGGCCTTCTTCTTCGCTGCTTGGCTTGGATTGTCGAGTTTCGATTCCGAGGCCTGCGATGCCGACAAGGTGCCGTTGGCGGATTGCAAAGCTGCATAGTAATGGTTATACTGATGATTTCTCCAATTAGCATTGTGTTGTCAATACAGACAGCAACGTGAGCGTGCTGGTAGCTTCTATGGCATACCTCGTCGAGAGTGCTCTGGGCATCGTCTGCCTCACGGAAGCGAGCCTGCCTCCCTCCGATACTGAAGCTAAAGTCCCTTATTGCGTGCGGCGTGGGAGAGGCGGCCAAGGGGTATTGTTTGGGGTCACGCTCACGGAGGTGGCGAGGGGCGTTGAGAATCAAGGGGGGAAAGGACGTTGTTGTTGTTGTTGTAGTCGTGACAACGGTTGTCTGGGTCGTAGGGGCGTACGAGAGCTGTCCGAGGGCAGCGAAAGGATCTAGCACCTTGGTCTGGACGGTTTTCGAGACCTCGTGGTGGGCAGGCATGGCAGGCGCTGTCGAGGTATTCGAAGGCTTGGCGGACGGCGAGGCGGACGGTGGTGCAGCGGCCGTCGAGGCAAACGAAGGGAACGCCGATGAGTCTTGGGATGTGGCCGGCCCGCTCAGCGTGGAGGCGGCATCCATGAGGGCGGGAGGAGAGTGGGAGGCGGAACGCGAGGGTGACACGGACTACGGGCGGCGAGGAGGACGAGCAAACTTGGGGTCGGCGACGCGGTGAGACAGGACCGCACTGATCATCAGCTCCGAGGCTTGCAGGCGCGCAGTGCGTGCAAGTGGGTGGGTGCCGAGTGGAAGTGGGCCGTCGTGAGGCTGATGTTTGCAGGGGCGAAGTTGGGTGGTGTCGTCAGTCTACTCGGTCATGGCGATGCGGGCGGCCAAAACACAGGGCAGCGCTGCGGAAGTGTGGGCGCGGTGCAGAGTCGAGCAGGCCAGCACGCTTGGGGGAAGGGCGGATGTTGTGTGCGGCACAGGGTGGCCGGGAGAGAGGGGTTGGCGGCTGGAAGGGCGACGACCGGGCCGGCTGGGGCGACAGCGCAGGCGACCTAGGCAGGCGAGGCAGGCACCTAAGCACACAAGCTCTACTACCTACGTATACGATGCTTTTTGCGCGTCACGCATATATTGTTCCGTCTCCGCCCCCAGCCCGCCCTCCGGTGTCCGCCCTGGAGCAGCGACTGCCGCCCTTCGCCCTCGCTCCTGGGCGCGGAAGCCGTCCTCTGCTCTGCTTAGTGGCACAGCATGAAGAGTACCACCTTGGTGGAATGCTCGATTTGTCACATGCCGACACGCCCATAACCGTCTGTTTCCAATCTTCTGCTTGTAACCTTCCTGCGCGCGTCCGGCGCATCGCCATCGGAATGCGCAATCACTTCCCCAGGTTCTGACCCTACAGGGCTCGTCCTCGGCGTTCCGGCGACTGAGACGTCGAATTCCCTGGGATGCATCTCAGGACGGTCGCAAGCTTCGTACAGCTTCTGATGAGCGGAAGGTATGCAACAACCCCCACCGGAACTCGAAGGGTGGATGAGAACCATCCGGTAACAGTCGCATGACCGGTGTGTCTTATCGCACGAGCGCGACGCGACTCATTGTCGAGGACGCGGTGCAGAGCCTCAGATTCCGACGAGCTTGCCGGTGCAGCATGGCCAGAATGTGCAGAAACCGAGGCGTTTCAGATTCTCAAGCTCAGGGAGAAACGGCCTGCGTTTGTGATTGTTCGGCAGGCAATGCGAGGCGAATTCGCCTGTCGCCTTCATGGCTGACTTCGGAGGCTGCTTCTGCCTACCGATGTCGTCACAACCTCGGACGACCCGACACGAGTCGCGTCCGTCCGCCCGCTAAAGCCGAAAGGTTCTTTGCAAAACAGCCTGGCCATGACAGAGTGTGCCCTGGCTTTGTATCAGCTGTGTAGTGCATCGAATTACAGAGCAGTCGTGAGGAGGTGCATGGCATGATGAAGCGGCGTCCGCGGCACCGTCGGCATGACGACTCGATGGGTTAAGGATCGCACATCGAAGCGATCGGATGGCCAAAACAAAGCTCGGCTTTTGACGGGCGCCCTGGGGCAGCCTTTCGTACCGTGCATTGCTGCTTACTACGTATGTCAGCACAGGCATTCTTCGCCCTCTGCGCAGCCGCTCATCCCCCGGCCGGAGTCAGGCACCGGCTGGCTAGCCACTCTCTGTCCTGTGCTGCTTCTCCCAACGACATATCGCGGTGCATCGTCATGGACCCCGTGCGCCGTCGTTCTACTCACAGTAGCAGTTTTGCAGACCGTTCGATTCCGGTCTGGTGAGTCAATCCGCACCTATGTTTGCTCTGCAATATGTTGACCGGACGAAAGGTATAGCCGGCAACGAGGTCAACTTCACCGGGCATTCCTTTGCCTGCCACAGTACGAGCCGAAGAAAATAGTATTATGAATAAGGCAGCGGTAATGGTTGACGCGCACATCAAGATTGGAATCCACGACCTACGTCAAACAGAATAAAATTGGTGAAGTCAATTGGTTGCCCGGGTGCTCCAACCTTTTTTTTTTTTTGTTGATAGAAGGTCTACTGCTATCATGATCAGCTTTGCCATTGGCCGGATCTGACCTGTCGATGATTTCTGAAGCGGTTCGAGCAGATGCAAGTATCACAGTAGATCTTGTGGCACATCCTCAGCATGACTATACAGCTACATCCGGCATATAACGTGATGCAGAGCGAAGGCAGCGGCGTTCATGCGGGTGCCTTCCGCGGCGGGAGCGTTGTGCCTTCCACGACTGGGAATTGCGCCTTCCTCAACGGAAGCGCTTCAACGCTGGGCCGTACTCCCACCTCGGCTCCCACAACTCTCCACGCAAGCCATTCCCGTCTCTGTAACTCACACCTGCCGAGAGAACGAAGCTCATCTCACACTCAAGGGTGGGACCGGAACCGGAACCTACGCAGCGCAGCCCTCGAGATGCCTAAGAAGAAAGCATGTAAACCGAGCAGGGCCCGCGCGAAAAGACCCAAGCAGCAGCGTACATACGCACAAGAACAGACCCAGGTACAATCCACAACAACTGAGACTACGAACTTCGTATTGCAGCAGCAGACTCAGGAGCTCACGCAGTCGCTCCTGCTAGCCTCGGTAATCCACTCTCTCACCTGGCTTCGTCCGCGTCACTAATCTCTGCCTTACAGATCTCTTCCATCCTCCACCTAAGGTAGCTATTGTGAGACCTTCTACGCCTGCATGTGCTGATTCTGCTCCAGGGACTTGATTAACCCTGCCTGTTTCCGGCTGACGCACTTCGATGTTGATTCTTCCGAACCATGGTCATATGAAGATTGGAAAACCGGCAACGTGAAGACTAAGCATAACAACCACACTCAGTCTATGCATCTTTTGCAGAGAGAGGGGAGTCTCAAGGCAGAAACGTTCATGGATTATCTCGTATGTTCTCCCTACCTATGACATCCAATGACGATCATTGCCCCACTTCTATGTCTCCATCCCCAATAGGAATTCCAAGCTCGCTACTTTGCTCATTTCAGACTAGGAAAATGGCGCATTCGATGCTATCCAAAAAGGCTTTCTCCGTGCCTTTCAGTTGAAGATATTCACGGATCCTGACCACCAGGAGAATGTCCTGGAGACACACACCCTGCATTTCAGTTACCATCGCCCCGCTGGAACCGCCAATAAAGAAGTGGCCGGAGTTGAGATGGTCGGCCCCGAGGGGAAACACCTTAGCCTCGTGAACTTGAAGATTGGTCTCGCAGAATTCGTCCGCAGCCTTTCGACGTACGTGGACAATCTTCCAGAGCTGCCAGGTAAGTCCTTCCAATGCGCTCTGAACGTTTAAAGCTCATGCAGCCCCAGAGAAACGATATTTCAAACCAAAACTGTTTTACACGGACGATTGCCCAGATGGGTATGAAGCCCCTGGATTTTCCGCGCCGAAAACGGCTGCCGTCATCTTCCCCCAGAATGAAGAGCTGGTGAAAAAGACCCACCGTCTAGGTAATTACAGTGGAGGGTTTCACAGGTGAGCTCCGAATTTCTTCCAAACAAGATCAATATCGCTGATTTTTACAGTGTCGATATGAGTATTTCTCACGTACAGTGGTTGGATAAGAGCGATGGCGCCATTCCTCCCGAATCGGATTTGGTGTATTCGAAACAGGTCTCCGCCACACCTGAGATGGTCACTCAAACTGTGGAACTGGAAGCGCCCCTCCAACACCAAGCAGCATTCGACACAGGCCGCCTTGCGGAGACTTCTCGGAGAGCAACAAAGCTCATGAGCCAACCGCCCCAAACCCAAACCCAAGAAGCTCTTCCTCGATCCCGGTCGTCCTCGGTAGATGTGGATGTTCTTCGCAGCCGTTTCAAAGCACGGCCAACGATATCTGATTTACCTACAGAAGGGCCCACGATCGCTCAGAAGGATAGTGGTGTATACAACGAAAGGCAAGCGTTGGGTGGCTTGCTTGCTCCCGGGAATGCGACAAACCTTTACCGCGTTACCACCTTTCCAGAAACGCCACGCGTGAAGGAATCATCCAAGACGATATCGGAACGAGAATCGTCATTGCCAGCTCCTGCCATAATCAGTCAGACCATAAGACGAGATGGCGTATCCGTACTTGAAGGCAATTCGGTTACCAATGCAACTCATGGGGACCAAGTGCTTCAGCGGAATGCAACTCAATCGGGGCTTGATAGCCAAGATGGATCGGAAAGGTTAATACTGAAAGACTTGGTAAGTTTGAGGCTCCGACCGCAACAATCATGTTTCCCTCCTTCATTGTGGTGACATTTCATTGTACAGAGGCAGAAACCAGAATCCCAAGCTCACGATACCCAACCTATGGGGTACAACAATGCGGCTACCGAAGCTGCAAATGCCAGTATTCAAGAACACAACAGATTGCGACTCACTCGAGCTAAGATCGAGGAGCTCAATGAAAAAAGGCGGTTGAGAGATACATGCGGCTTGAGAACTCAATCTGAAAAGAACAAAGTCGGTAGCACAGACGTAATATCTTGTCAATGTGGATTGAACCAAGAGGAGGAAGACAACATGGTAAGTTTGATCTTACCTAAGGATTTACGAGTTCCCTTCTAATTTTACCAGATCTACTGTAATTGGTGTAGCACTTGGCAACATTGCTCGTGCTACGGTTTCCAGGGGGCTTCGGATACCCGAATCCCTCTCGAACATGCGTGCTATCGCTGCTTAGAGGACGTTGTAGAATCTGGTGGAGCACGGAGAAGGCTCAAGGAGCTCAAGAACTTCACACTTCTTCGCAGAGCCATCCGCACTGTTGAAGATAACGGATTCCATGACGAGACTTCATTCGCCCAGGCAATTGGAGGTCCGTAGTGCAATGGTTTCTCGTATTTTACATCTACTAACACTGCAGTCAGGCTGCAATCTCCAAACCGCTTCTGATGTGGTTGCAAGACTTTTATCGGAGAAGGCAGTATTCATGTCAGATTCTGGCAAGAAGAGCGTTTTCAACAAAGCGAACGATTCCCGATGTAAGGTTGTCACTACAGAGCCGGAGCGTTCGGTGATGATGAACAAGTTCTTCAACCCTCTTTACAATGTCGAGAACTATGTGAGTAGAAGACAAACCATGTGCAATACAAAGGCCGAAACTGACCGAGCTGGAAAGTATGTTCAAGGTGACCACGGTGCTTCCCAACGAAATCGCGAAGCGCAACAATCTGTAGAAGCCACCTCACAAGAAAGTCAAGGAGATCGCGGTAAGCCATCTCATCTAATTTGATAAAGTATTTCGCTGACATAGGATCGAATGACTTCCACAGTTGCGCTGTCCCAGGCTTCAGACGGCGGTCAGCCCAGAAACACATCTGGAGAGCGCGCGGGTTTGATCGGCCGTTCTTCTCTTTCAGAAAGGAGCCAATTTCGTCTCAAATCTGACCTCAAGTTGAACAAGGGCCCCAAGAGTGATGATGCGAGAAAAAGAATCTCGACAGACGGTTTGAATCCCCCACGTCCCACCAAACGCATTTATCATGCATCTCCTATGGTCTTCACGCGTGGTATGAGCGCAGATGCCTAAATACACTCGGCAGCAGATTGAGACTGGTCAAGGTATCGCTTATATACTCGGCTGGCTTTATTCCTTGATGCTTTACACTGGGCCATATGTTGCTTCTGAAAGATTCGGAACAAGGATTTTTGCTGGGACGAATGTTTCTCACACTATCAGATCTGTGGAAAAGATCAGTGACAGAGAAGAGAGATTACGATTGCTTTAGATGGACGTGAGCCTCGGGAGTTTGTCGGGTGTTGAAGCGTGAGGAGATGTGACTGTTATTGAAAGTTTCTCTGGGTTTCTTTTCAGTGCGAGGACCGTTAAATTTTAATACGCTAACTTGCTCAAATCATGGATATAAAGTGTGAGGACAAAAACCATAATACAGATTTTTAGTGTTGGGCATGCCACCATGTGTATCCTACTCGAGTTGCTTTTCTGGACATGCTCATTAATGTAGGTGCTCCTCAGCCTTCTCTGGGCTAGAGATATTTCTTGCAGTAGCGCAAGGCTTAGTCGTCGACGATGCATTAGAGCAAGGCAAATGCCCTCTCCAAGGACTTGAGCGACCGGCAACGACTTTGCTTTGCACATCACATGCTTGCGCGACATCGCGTGGCATGCTGACTCGCGCGGACAAAACAAACGACAACGTCACCACCACAGTACCAACAGCATCTTTATTGCCCGGTCTGCGCCTTACAATGTCGTCCTCGCAACATCTCTCATCATCACGGACCAGCACTTCACGGACATCGGCATCCGCAACCAGCAAACGAGCGTCGTCGTCCCTGCCCAAGGCGCCCGCAACCATCCACCCGTCAGCCATCATCGCCAACCATGCCGTGTTGACGGGCCACCACGCCATCACCATCGCCGCCGGCGCCATCATTCACCCGAATGCCAAAATCACGTCGTTGCACGGCCCCGTGGTGATTGGAGAGGGATGTATAGTGTACGAGAAAGCCACCGTCGGGATCCCAGAACTGGAAGGCGGCCAGGGAAGGGGTGTAGTGCTGGACAAGAACGTGGTTGTTGAGGCTAGCGCGGTGGTGCAGGCCGCTCTGGTGGGTGAGGGGACGATTATAGGAACGGATGCAAAGGTGGGCTTGGGGAGCGCTGTGGGAATGGTAATACTTTTTCTTTCCCTTTTCCTTTTGCTTCCCCCTATGCCAACAATATACACATTTCGCGAAGCTAACGTCTCACATGGCTTACAGTTTTGCCAACTCGCCCCACGCACGGAGCTGCCGCCGCATTCTGAGCTTCCCGACTATATGGTTGTGTACGGATCGAACCAGCGTCGGCTGAACCACTCGCTGCAGACACGCCCGGCGGTGATGGAGCTCGCCAAGCGCGCACACGAGAAAAAACTCCACGCGCTGGTGCGGCTTCTGCCGAACAACGCGGCGAAGTGGCACTAGGTTTGAAGGCGACGGGAAGATCGGTACCTATACTACCGAGCTGCAAGCCATACGTGTGAATGCACTCCACCACCGCGTCGTTATCATAGGCATCGCAGGAAAGCAAAAAGCAGCAGCGTATGACGGACCGTCCGCCTTACCCGCCAATGACTCGGAACGGGGTACGAAGGGACTTACCATCAGTGCCTCATCAGCCGGCTCGGAGAATAAAATGATCGGCGACGATACATACGGAGCCCATGACTCGCTCACCTATGGAGGCCTTCTTCCAGGTACCCGAACAGCAGGCTCAAAGCGGGTGCGTCCCGTCGTGCTGACCCTGGCGCCGTAGGACATGCGTGTGTGCGATTGCCTGGTTGGGCACTGGAGTGACGTCTTCCGCGGCGTGGCGTAACAGGACCAGGTACGAAGAAGGAAAGGAGAAAGAGGTCGGGCGTTTCACCATCACGAAGGAGCGTGGGGGCGTCCCAAAGGGGTTCCGAGTGTGTGGTCGGGCATTGAATAGGTTACCAAGTGACAGTGACGGACGCGGACGGATGGATCGGTAAGGAATCCCGGGATCGGACAGGATTCAGTCATGGTTGCCGCTCGGTCCTCCGTGAGAGAGCAAGTCCTCCTCTCTCCGGAAGCGTCGTCTCAGGACCTTTCTCTTACGCAAGCTTTTACGTTCGCAGTTGCTTTCGGTTTTCGATCGGATGAGATGGATTATGCATCTAAGTTATTCTCTCTCTCGTTTCTACTATTCACTTATCGGCTTTTTTCTCTCCTTTTGGCTTCTCCAGCACGGGGACTCGAGAGTCATACAGCAACACCAAAATGATGATCCCAACACCCACCGTGTATTATCTACGGCCTGTCTTGCGCAATCACACAAATGCCTTCAAGTTCTTCGATGCCCTCCCCCGCCCCCGCTATTACCCTTATTTCGTCACACCATCGTAGGGCGAATCATTCCCGTAGTCTCAAAACATGACTACCGTAAAATCTCACGAACCTCGCCTCCTTGGCGGTAGGGACTACCCTGGTAGATTAGGATGATGTATGGTTTCCACCTCCAATCAGTCTGCATAATCTCATGGCAAAGTTCCTGTAACACCAAAGGGTGGGTTTTATATCGCTGGCCAGAAACTCATACCGCCCGAAATTACAAGGGTAATCCCTATCGCCAAGCAAGCAAGTTTCATGAGTTTATCTCTTGCACTGCCGCTACGGGGCCTAATCGGGAGCAGGGCTTAGCTTCATCACGCGCCGTAATCGCCTAAGAAGCATCATCGCCACTACAACCAACCCCCCCATAATGCTTGTAGTGGCCGTAGGCGGGCGCGAGCGATGGCTACGAGCGAGTCAAACGAACGTAAAGGCGATTGAGTATTTCGATAGTCTACCCACTAGTATACGTAACCGCCTAGCGCCCGCGCGCCCGCCCCACGCGACTCGCCACCTTTTAAGGGATGTTGTGGTGTTGATTGATTTTCGTTGGCCCAATCATATGCCTTAGACCTTAGGCCTCGCCGGTGGCCTCGTGGTGGCCGTGGAAGAGATACGGTATGGCAATGTCGCAGATACGGTAGTTGGCTTCGGCATATAGCGTCTTTTGCAGCTATGTTTTGGGACAGCGACCTGGTGCCGCTGACAATACCTGAAACACGCCAGCGCGTTTCTGCACAAAGCAACAAACCTTGCCGACCGCATCCGTTCGGAGGTAAGGGGAGGGAGGGCATAGGGCATAGGGCATAGGGCATAGGGCATAGGGCATAGGGCATAGGGCATAGGGCATAGGGCACCGGGGCTTTTGCCTTTTGAGGTGTTCTTCTTGGTCTTTTTTTATTTATTCTTGTACATATACACGTACTACTCTGTTGATGAAAACTTTACGCGCCGGGATGTGGGGAACGGAAAGCAGGGCCACGGGTTTACGCGCGCGTGCTTGCGGCGCAGTCGTTCACCTGGGCTGGGAAATCACGCATCGTGAATCATGACAGCAGAAGCAGAAAGGAGAAGGAGGAAGGGCAAACGCTTGGTGGGCACTGCTGGGGAATGTCGGTGAGCGTGTTCTTGCCTATCTTTTGCCGTTGGTCCCGTTGCCGGTGAGCTCGGCTAGCCATATAAACTTCTGACTATATGGGGGTCCCGTTCGAGGGATGGCTGGCAGAACCGGGTGGCCGGGCCCTACACTCTGTCAACTTTGACCTCTTCATTTTTTTTCTTTTGAGCGAGCCCTCGGGTGCGATGGGGGCGCGTGGTCGGGAAGCAGCTGACGTAGGATGGGAGGCTCGAGGTATGTGACCCTGACGATGACGGCGCGTGCAACTGGAGCTGATCAGCAATGCGAGAGGGTCCTGTCAATTTGCTTTTCCTCCTCCCTTTTTTTCTTCTGTTGTTCGGTCGTGTATCCACTGGGCTGCGTGTGTTGTGCGACGCGCGCAACGCGCGCAAAACGTGAAAAGAACCGTTGTTTGAGAAAATGGGGCGCTGGGGGCTAGCTGAGGTCTGCGTGGTGGCTATGTAAGCCGATGATCAGCACGGGGGTGCGGGTCTGTGTGTTCGGAGGCCGAAGGCACGCGGTTGGTCAGTTGACCGGTCAGTTGTTGTAAGGTGGAGTTTTGTTTTTTCCGTTTTTGGATAGCGAAGCGGAAGCTGCGGTTTCGTTGGCTGAAACAATTCCTGCCTTTCTATACCAAAACACCTACAGCCATTTCTGGACCTGCCGCTTCGAGGCATGTGGCTCGAGAAAAAGGAACTGGTGGCACGACGCTGCGGCAGTTGGAAGGCGTGTTGGAGTAGTACAGAGCGATGGAGCACGCGAGAGAGACAAACGCTCAATCTCCACATGAGCTTGCCAGAACGGCCCCCGGGGGCCGAGCCGAGCCCAGGCTGCAGCCGCAAGACCTGGGATCATGGATGGACATGACATCTGCGACGCTTACGCATGGCGCCCACCTCGACAGAGGACGTTTGCGTTGCCGAAAGGCAAGCCACAAATGGAGTGCAGCTGTCAACCCGCCGTCTTGTCACGTTTGCATGCAACGGACAGGCGGTCTCCTTGCACCAGCCTTCGGCAGGTGGTGTTGTCCAACGCTCTTGCGTATCGTCAGGTTGTGTGAAGAAAAGCATAGGCAGGCCGGTGAAGGACAGTGCGAGGTGAGGTTGCGGATGGAATCGGAAGCGTCGCTCGAGGCACATGGCCGGACGTGTTTGCTCCGCGTGCCGTTGCACCTGAGAATTCTCAACTCTCGCTTCCCCGAGAGATCAGAGGTTCGGTTCTCATGCTTCGGATGCGAGAGGATCAGCGGCAATCTCCACGGAATGGAGCGCTGGATACGAGCAGACGACCGCTGGGCTCTGACAAGCGAGCAACTGCAACGGTGAAACCCGTCATGGTGGCAGATAAATGCATACTGTAGGCACTCTGGCAACCGGGGACCATCGCCGTGGAGACGGAGCGATAAGTGGAGCGCCGCAGTGTTTGTATCAGAGCGACGGAGTAATTGTACGCGAAGACGAAGACGCGGAAATGACGTGTCTGTAAGAAGGCACGCGGAGGCTGCGGACGGGAGATGTGGAAGTTGGCAACGAACAGGATGAAGATCTATCCGGTAAGAGGGCCGTTGAGGAGCGGGACGAGCAGGGTGGGTTCTTCGGAGCAAGCTCGCCCTCATGTCCACATGGTGCGGGCTGGCTGTTTGGGCGGAGCGCTTGGCCGCGCATGCGGAGTGTATGCGTGCTGTCGTGGAACATTGGGCAGGGGTTGGTGGAACGGGTGGGCGGGCGGTGAAGGCGAGACAGACGTTAAACACGGCGTGCAGCGTGGGCGGGGAATGGTCCAGCTCGGTGCTGTGCCCCGCGGTTGGCAGGATCCCGTGGTTCTAATGGCGGAGACTCAGGCAGCGGAGGGACGAGACGTTGCAACAACGGGCTGCTTGACAGAAGGACCGGGACGAACGACGTTTGTTTTTCCGGCGAGTCTAGTGCATGTGACGGAGCTGGTACGGGACCGCATTGATGGCGCTAGGGACTGACATGATGTAGACGGACTGATACGTGTTGACCATATCTTACTCTGGCATTTCTTTTTCCCGCACATAAGATGAGGCTGCCCGATGTGGCAGCTGCGGATGCACGTGGGGTGGGCCAGCTGGGGCTCCGGGCATGGGACTGTGGGGTAAGGCGAAAAAGGAGCTTGAGGCAATGAAGAGCTGCTGGACTGGATATGAGCTGAGGCCGTCCATGGCATCGTCATAGCCAGTAGCATTCGCGCGTGAGGTGATCCCTGCCCGGAGCAAAGTGGGATTGACGCGCAGAGACGATCCGTCTCGGGGCTCTGGGCTACCGGTGGCCGAAGATCATAGGAGGCGTGCTATGATCAGTCGAAGCGCTCTAGAAGCTTGTTCTCCCCAGCAGGGCTTGCGAGCCCCAGGGGCACGAGGCGGCCGTTGGTCGAGAGCAGAGACTGGCAGCGTGGCGGCGCGTCCGGCAGCGCGTCCGGCAGCGCCTCTCTGGCACTTGGCCGGCCGAGGGCTGCCGGGAATCGAGAATCGCGCTGCCACGCGTGCGGCGCGCCAGAGCCAAAGATTTGGATTTGTGGAGTGGCTGGTGACAATTTTGGCGACGGCGTCATTTCGCATACGAGGATCGTGCTGCGCGCGGGAGGTCGGCGGCGCTCGCGCTGGACTCGAGCACAGCGGGCAGCGATCTTCGACAACAGCGCTTCTCGTGCCAGAGCGTTTGGCGGTCGACAAGGCGGCGGCCAGAGGGCGGTAGCGAAACAGGACGGCGTCTGGCAGTCGGCGGCAGCGCCGGGACAGACACGATAGGAACCGGGCTCGCAGGCGCGAATCATGGCGGGCGGGCTGGTGCTAAGGCAAGGGACGGCGTGGGCAGCTAGCAGCAGGCGGCGTGCGGCTGGGCGGGCGTCGCGGCAGGCTAGCTCGTGAGGTGGGCAGTGGTACGGCGTGGTACGGCATCGTGGTGGGCGTGGTGGGCAGGGACAGGCCTGGCAGGCGGGAGCTTGGACGGCGGCGATCCGCGTCTGCATGCCCCTGAGCCGGGCCGGGGGGCAGTCTCTATATTGCTCCATCGACGCTCTATTGCTTCAATGCGCCGCCTCACGCCCGCTGCTGCGCTGCCTGTGCTGCCTGTGCTGCCTGTGCCCGTCGATCCAGCGCGCATCCGGCCCACAGAGCCCCCCCCGGCCGCTGCTCCTCCGCCAGGCTGGCCAGCGCACAGCTGCAGCTTCGCCGCACGCCCTTAAGCAGCAGCTTCTGCACCTGCTCCTGTCGCGCAACTAGCTTCCGCCTTCGTCAGATTGCGTCCAAGCTCGTCGCATCCTCTCTGCTGGGTCGAGGGTCCATCCACCGCGTCGTCCGCCCCCTCCGCCCACCGCGCCAACCACCCTCCCGACATGCGCGCTGTGCCGCCACCGAGTGCACCCATCGTTCGAGCCTGACCTGCTGCCGTGTCACCCTTCGAGAAGCACGCGAAAATGTCCAGGTATGCCCCCCGACTCGCCCGCCTGCCGCTCCCTCCCTGCTGAAACTCTGCCAGCGCCTGATTTGTTCTTGATATCTACACGCTCGTTTCCCGCCTGCTTGCTTCTTCCCTTCCCTCGACCACTTCTGTCTCTCCCCCGCGAAAATGGGCCGTGCTTCCAAGTTCGCCTTCCCGCTGCCCGGCCGCCGCGCCCACGGCGACCGGGACAACCGCCCGGAGCCGCAGCCTGCCAACGACTACGACTACCACCCGTCCAGCAAGGCAGAGCGTCTCTTGGGCACCGGCCTGCCTGGCCACCGCCAGGGAAGCTACTCCTCTGCCAGCGGCGTCCCCCGCAACAATTCCGCCACCCCTTCGCTGGAGACCAAGCCGAGCTACATGAGCATCGCGCTGTCCGAGCCCAGCCAGGACTCTGCCCAACGCAAGGGCTCGAGTTACGCCGACGATGGTCACCTCGTGCCACCCCATCCCCGCTTCCACCAGGATCAATCGCACGCCCGCAGCAAAGATCGCGCTGGTTCCGTCACCAGCTCCACCTACAGCCGCCACTTGAACTCTCAGGGCTCTTCTTCTACCATGCGCTCGCACCACGACTCCCACAGGCAGCCCAGCCACGTCTCCCAGAAGCCGTCCATGTCCTCCATGCGCGACGGCGGCTTACGCAAAGGCCACCCTGCTTTTTCCTCGTCACAGAGTCTGGGACAGGAGAGCCTGAACGGCTCCGTCCTCAGCGGCGACTTCGGGTCCGCTGGCGGTGGTAGTAAGAAGAAGAAGGTCCCTGCACGCCTCGACCTCTCCAAGCTGTTCCCCAAAGCCCCCAAGTCCAAGAACACCAAGGACCAACAACTCCTGTCCCCTACCAAGTTCGTCAACTCTCCCGTCGCCATGTCGAGCACCTCGACACATTTCTCGCGGCCTCTCACCTCGCCCACTTCATCGACTTCTAATAGAGACAGGGCGCCTTCTCTCACGAGCATCAGGACCAGTGACACCCTTCGTGAGGGAAGAGCTCAAGCTGCCAAGGAACGTGCGTATAAGTCTCAATTTGATAACGCCAAGGTCAACAGGAGAAGACCTCCGCCAGGTATTCAGCATTGGTTCGACGGCATAAGCGATGATGAAGAGGAAGAGGAAGAGGTCGAGACCCCGCACCTGCGAGCGAGCACGAGGCCCCAGGAATCTCGATCCGCATCGCAGCACCGACCGTCACCACATGAGCACCGACGAAAGGAGTCCTCATCTGGACCTGGCCGCAGGGCTTCTCATCACAGGCCCGCCTCTAAGCAACCATCTTATCCGGTGGACGAGCGTGCCTATGCGGCGGATCGCCCGCATCGTTCAGAGCGTGGATATCCGATCGAACCTCCCGCAGAACTCCAAACCTACCGGCACCGCGCCGACAATTACCAGTCCGGTATGGATGCCCGGATTGCTGAGAAGCCTCACGTGCGGAGCCAACCGAGTCAAAATTCTTTCGCAACTCATAACACGGCCCGGACCAACACGAGCAAGATGTCTGGCAGGGACCTGAAAGGTGACAGCGTCCTGTCGCTTTCTTCATCAGAGGACGAAGGTGATCCTAGGAGCAGCGGCACCAGTCTTCCCATCATCCGTGACAGTCTTGCCATGTCCACCGAGTCCGAGAGCGAGATCATGATTGGTAGGGCCCAAGCGTTCGACATCAGACCACGTCAAAACCGTCCAGGGAGGCGTATGACTTCGGCGTCTGGGAACAGTATACAGTCCTCTGGGACCGGTGCCACTATTGATGTTATGCTGTCTCCGACCACTGCTGCCTCCAGTCAGACGAATCTGGTTCTGCCAAGACATTCCAATTCTCGGGGTAGACGGGGATCACGCCACTCTCGACAGGTCTCTGCGATCCCAGAGGATCAAGACAACGACTCAAAGAGCTACACCGAGAGCTTTAGCAACGCATCCTTCGACGACAAAGAGAGCATCAGGAGCGGGAGGACATCCAAAAGCGAGCCGAGACATTTGGGCCACAAGCTCATGGCCGTCACTGAAGAAGAGGAGGTACTCTTGGAACTTATGCGTAGGAAGCGTGCAGCTATGGCAAAACAGAGCTTCACAGACGGCTACCGGTCAGCCATCAAGGCCGAACAACATTACATGTCCATGGACAGCCCGGTTTCAGAATACTCGAGCAACCAAACCGTCAACGAAAGCGACTGGAGGCACTCCAAGAGGTCTTCACGCTCTCACACTACTATAACCGAATCTGAGCCTTCTTCCGCGGCTTTGGAGACACTGTCTAACGCAACTTACGTACCACCGTCGTCGCGGAACCGTCCTCCGCCCATGGCGAACGAAGCACTACTCAGGTCACCCGCGTCGAGCTCCGTGGCGTCGACTTCCTCGGCATTCTCCCCACCGCCGCGATCGCGTGCTACACAGCGCATCATGTCGCAGGCCCCGCAGCTGTCTCCTGCTCTGTTCTCTCCACTTGAGGTCTTTCCTTCGCCACCCGACTCCCCGAATTTCCCGGGCACTGCTTCGCACACGGACACCATCCCCTCTCCTGTCACTCCTGGCCCGGTTTCCCACGGCGAACTTCATGTCAAGGTTGCTGGCAGCTCTATCGGTGGTAGCGAGGCCAGTTTCGGTACTGATCAGGACTCTATCCACAATGCCCACCACCACCACCCATCTGACTTCACCATGGGTCACAAGGGCAAGGACAGGTCGAGGAAGGTTGAGAATCTAGTTGCCAGGAACAACGAAGAGACCGAAGGCACACATGGCATCGATAGGTCCCGTAGCCATAGCCGACGACGTACTGCTAGCTCTGGCGCCAACGTTGCCCCTTGTGCAGAGCCAGTTGCACAATCAGCAGCTTCCAATAACTTTGCCGTCCCGCCCCGCACGTCCTCGATAATGGCTTTCCCCAAACCCGGAATTTCTATTCAGCAGGATGATGGAAACTCGGTGTCCTCTGCAGCATCCAGCAGAAGGCCTGGTGAGGCTGAATGGGACTGGGACGCTGACGTCGACGTGGGCGCTGTCATCAGCCAAGTCCGCAAGTCGCGCTCCTCGCATATTCTGGGCAGCAGTTCGCGCACCTCGGTCTCGTCCACTACGCCTTCCAAGCAACGCCTGAGCAGGCAGAACAGCACCGCGAGCCACGTCAGCCCCAAGAGCGGCGCGAGGAGCGATGCTGGGAAAAAGCTTTCTGTGGCGCCCATGTCCAACGCCGCCATTGCGCAGCGAAGCAGCGTTTGCGATGATGTTCTTGCCGCGTGGAGCAGCCTCGGTGGCTCGCGCGGTGAATTCTACGGTTAATTTCGCGATCTTTTGATCGCCCCTTTATTTTCTTCGATGATGACTTTTTCATGAAGTGGCCTTGATTGCGGTAATCGGATTTATTGACGTTGGAACGAAACAGGAGGTCGCATTTGGGAGTACGATGGCTTTGAAGACGTAGAGGGGCTCTCTACTTGTAGACAAGGGAAGTGAGGCAGAATCTGCCTATTGTGGCCCGCATCACCACCACGACTTTTTTTTTCCTTTTGCACTGTATCCTGATTTCCCACGTCATCGTTCATGGCTTCTAGTTACTGATTTCGTAACGTCTCTCGGGATACCACAGCTCCCGCCTGTTTTCCATTCGATCCTCGGCGGGATCGCTTTTCCTTAACAATTTCCTTACTTTCTCATCCTTAATCCTGCCTCTTGGCATAGACTACTGCATTTTCTTCTCCAGCGATGGCGTCGTGTGGGATACTACTCAGTGAGGATCTTTTTTTCCTCTTTGCTTGGATCTCCCAATATCTGCGCATTTCGGCACTATATCACCGTCTGGTGTTGTTATTATCAAAGCAAGGTTGCTTGCACGTTTGATCCGGGATGTGTTCTCTCGGTTGTTTCTTTTGGATCCGGAAAAGTAGCTCAGACTTAATTTCCCTTGGTGTGTATTCTGTGTAGCAGTATCAAATAATCAACGCATTGGGATGGCGAAAATTCGTGTCACAACTTTTGTGTGTGTGTATGTCAATACAAACGGGGAGAGTGAATGCGATATGCCACGCTAGTATGTGAGAAGGGAGAGCGAGTAACCGAAATTTCTTCAATCTGGTCCGCATCCATCAATCACACTTTGATGATCCACGTCCAATCCCCTGTTTTTTTTCCCCTTCCATTTCTCTCTTTCTCTCCCTCTCCATCCATATTTCCCTCCTCCATCCATCCAAACCCCAACCCCACAAACCCAAGAACTCACACACACACACCCATGCAATCCGCGCCCCCATCACTCGGATCGCACCCGTCACTCGGATCGTCGACGCACTCCCTGCCCTCCTCGGCGCACGGCGTCGCCGCGAACCCGCCGCACCCCTGCGGCACGATGCACACGCCGTACTCGCCGCAGGCCGGGCCGCAGCCGCCGTTGGGGCGCTCGGCGTCGGGCGACAGGTCGCGCACGCAGGTGAAGCCCGAGGGGCAGGGCGACGAGTCCGGGTCGGCGGCCGGGTCCGGGCCGCCGCAGCGCATGGTTTGCGGTTCGCTGGGGGGAGGGGGGGCGGAGGAGGGTGAAGAGGGCGAAGAGGAGGAAGGGGACGAGGAGGGCGAGGGGCCAACGGGGTGCGGGCCGGCGGGTGGGGGGACGATGGGGCCGATGATTTGGCGCGGGAGGGGGCCGATGGTGAGGGCGGTGGGGAAGGTGGGTTGTTGGGTTTGGGCTTGGGCTTGTTCTTCTTCTTCTTCTTCTTCTTGTTGTTGTTCTTGTTGTTGTCGCTGCTGGCGTTCTTGTTCTTGTTGCTCCTTGAGGGCTTGGATGGCGGCGGGGGTGGAGGATGGGCGGAAGTTGGGGAGGAGGGAGAGGCCGACGGGGCCGGGGCCGAACATTGGCCTGAGGGTCGTGATTGGGCCGGACCAGGCGGGGTCGGGCCAGTATGGGTGGGTGGGGGAAGACGACGACGAGGGGGTGGCGGTGGTGGTGGGTATGATGTTGTCGAGGTTGAGAGAAGAGATGGATGTGGCGAATAGGTCGAGGGCGAGTGATGGAGAAGAAGACAACGACGACGACCCCGAAGCGTCGGCTACGGCGGCGCAGTAGCTGCGCTTCTCGGCGAAGCCGATGCCACTGATGAGTATGTCGACGCACTCGAGACCTGGGTCGCACGCCGGGTAGCCGTCGCCGCAACGGATCTGCGGGAACACGCTCAAGGATGTGCTTGTCGGTTGGACCGGTGATGTGGCTATCACTCCCGGAATGAGCGCTGTATTGACGTTCACCTGGCGAGGGGGGTGCCTGTTGAGACCTCTCGTCGTGGAGGTACGGAGGCTGCTGCTGAAGTCAAGCGTGAGGGTGTTGCTGGGGGTACTCGGCGAAGTCTGGGTCGTTGTGTCGGCCAGGAGAGTGACGCTGTTGAGCACGTCAACGCAATACCCGCCGCAGTCGGAATCTGGGCCACAGTGGGCATTGGGCCGCTGAAGGCAATCGTAGCCGGTCGGGCATGACTGGGCACCGCGATGGCCACAGACATGGTAATTCGCAGTGGCGGGCTCTGTGATGCTCGGTTCGGCTCCTGCTATTTCTTCGCTGGAGAAAGTCGCCGACACCTCGGTAAATCCTGGCAAGGATGCCGATTCTGGAATACCATCTGTGGATGTCGGTAGCACGCCCGAAAGGAGGTCGCCGACCAGCGACGTCGCGGGGGCGTAGAAGGAAAACCAGGTGTGGGTCTCAGACCAGGGCTCGTCGTCGATGAGGTCATTGACATAGTCGGGTAGATTCTCTAGGTATGCTGGAAGCTCCTGAGGATCTGGGAGATCTGAGATGAGGTTGGTGAAGATGACTGGGATGTCGCTTGGTTCCGGGACCATATCGAACAGATCAGGGAGTTGCGCATCGAGGTCTTCCGGATCAGTTCCGTCGCAATCCTGTACATCGGTCAGCACGAGAGGAAATGTTGAATCTGTCTGTTTCGGAGAGACACACCAAAAAGGTTGGCAAAGGTCGGCCACAGGTCAGTGCACAGTCACTGGCTGCTTGATTACTGCATTGGCAGCTCTAAGCCGGGTTAGCTCTACAGTCCAGACTAAAGTTAATGGCACGGTCGAGGCGCTTACAAGAGGCCAACTCTGAGCACAGAATACGGGAGCGCAATTGCACTGCGGCACGGAAGTGTCCGGAGGAACGCCTATGGGAGTCATTTGTGGAAAGTCGTCAACGTCGGACACTGATGTTGGTGCATCAAACTCCTCACGGCGATCGTTGAAACGAGGGAACTGTTCCAGATCGGATGGAAGCGGTGTGGGAACATCGGTAATTTGGGGGAAGTCTTCCAGGTTAGACACCGAGGTTGAATTAACAGCTGGCAGAGACACAATGACCGGCCCAGGCTCTGTTGGCAGGAACGGTTCCGTTGGCCTTGGGGTGTGAAGCGTGCCGTACAACGAAGCACTTTCCTCCGGAGAGTCGCCACAGTTCTGAAGTCTCGGTGCAACGCCGCCGCAGCGCTGGTGGCACAGGACCTTTCCGGAGTTGGCGCAGCGGCATGACTGACAATCTTAGTACACTTCTTGCGTCAGCCGGAGATTGGGAGTTCTTGTCAAATTTACCTGAGGCCAGATTTGTGCACAGAAAGTTGGTTCGCATGTACAACTTGCTGATGGTTCTGCTGGTAGTGCAGTGGGAAACGCGGATGTCGGCTTCCCAGCTGAAGTCGGTAGGGTGCTGGTAGAGACGGATGCAAGACCAGAGGCTGAGTCGCAGTCCTGCAGATGGTGAGCGCGCCTGTCCCTGACATAATTGGAAGATAGAGTGACGCACCCTTAGAGCAGGCGCTGGACAAACCAGGGCCTTACCCTGCTGAATCTGATCTGCCCAGCAGGACGCAATCGCAGCATTCTGGCATTTGCAGCGCTTTGATACAGTTAGAAAGATCCATTTGACCATGAGACAGAATACGTACTTCTGGTTGCCCGGGTGGACATAAGGGCATAGGGCACGCGCATGCCAGGTCATCTTCCCCTAGCGCGGCCGGCGCAGCCAGGGACAACCGAAGCGATGCCAGGATGAGATAGAGCGTCTTCATGGTTAGGATGCTTCTCCAGCGGACGAAGGAGAATACAGGGAGAACAACCTTGGGCGACACGTAGATAGATATAAGAGGGCGAAGGGTGAGGAATGGAGAGCTAATTTTGAATTTTTGTCCCTACCCAACTCAAAAAGTCATCTGCGCCCAGAAAAGTTGAATCGAGCGATTGCTTGGACCCTGTCCCACAACGCCAACTACCAAACGGGTGCCTCCTTGCTTCAATCCTCCATCGTACTGGAAGGTAAATGGAAGTTCCAAACGCGACCGGTAGATGGACTTGATGCTTCCAAACCGCCGAAACGATGATAGCGATGCCAACGGCGACTGGATGCCGGCCACTCCGGGAGAGATGACGTTTGCAGACAGTAGCTTGGCGGGAAAAATGGAATGTGGGGTCTAAGGTTCTCAGTGCCGGGACCCCGACCTATTCAGTCGCTCGCTGTTGCACACAGGGGAAAGATGAGTGCTGGCGTCGCCTTTTCCGGTATATCTGGTCTATATTTGTGCACCCCATGCCTGGCTAGTGCGAGGTCATCCGAGGTCCGTCCTTGTTGCCCACGCGACGCAAAGGTAACATCCTCCAGGCTGCTGACGGCGAGCGAGAAATGAAGCAGCCGTCCTGTTTTCGCCACGACCTAAGGCAATAGCGGGAGTCATTCTTCATAGGAGCATCGGTCCTCATTTCTTGCCTTTCTTGGCTCGGGAAGCGGTCCGTTGGAACGCTTCCTCGGGTGGCTCGTCCATCGGCGGCGCTCGTTTCTTGCCCTTCTTGGAGTCAGGTGCGTACTTTGCCTCCAACTGGTCGAAGAAAGACTCAGAGCGACCCTTCTGGCGCTGCTGGATCATAGCTGCGAGGTCGCCCAGACCGCCATCACCCTGTGCTTTCTTCTTCTTTTTGGTGCCTTCCATCTCCTTTGCAGCGTCGTCGGCTTCCTCTGCCTCCTTCCTCGCCTTCTTCATCCTGTTCTGACGGCTTCTCTCCGACTCGTCGGTATACTTTTTCTCGGCAGGCACTGTTCCGTCTGCGATGGCTGCGTCGAGAATAGCTCGGAAGCGATCCTCATCCTCGAGCGGATTGCTGAGCATGATGACCTCGTAGATTTTGTTTAGGTTGCCTTTGAATTGCTTGTAGGCATCGATGAGGTCATTCCGCTCCTCATCGCCGCCCTTGTACTCGTTCTTGAATTTCTCAATGGCCTCGGCCGTGACAATGTCCTCGTACTGCTCCTTGTAGTATTCGGTCCAGTTGAAGTCATCATCTTCGAGATCGACGGTTTCCTCGGTGCGACCGGTGGTATCGTAGCGCGAGCGGCGACGGGGATCAGAGAGGATAGCATGCGCGAAGGCGATTTCCTGGAACTTGGCATGGGCGGCTTCCTTGTCCTCGGCCTTGTCTGATAAATTGTCAGCGGAGTCACACGCGGTGGCGCGACAAGACCGACCTGGGTGATGCTTCAGGGCAGCTTTGCGGTATGCACTCTTGATGTGGTCGGGTGCTGCGTCCTTTGCGACACCTAGAACTTCATACGGATCGATGGATTTGGGCGGCTCCTCATCGATGAGGTCCTCGATGTCCTCGCTCCGCTTTTTCTGCTTCCTGGGCATGTTGCTTGGTGTCAAAAACGACGGGGTGGCGATGGAGTTGCGGTGCGGTTGGCAGGGTGGAGCTTCAGGACGAGCAGCGGCAGGGAAGACGCGTCGCACGCGATTCGAGAGCCGACGTAACCATCAAAACGCGTTCCAACCACTTCACCCCCGCCAAACCATCACCACGACGTTGTATCTTTACTGCTGCCCGTCTGTCTGAAAATGTCCGTCGAATCCACCAAGCCGTCCTCGCCGACCGACCATTCGGCATACATGCGATTGGCCCTCGCCGAAGCCAAGAAGTCTCCCCCAAAGCCCACCAACTTCTGTGTTGGCGCTGTTCTCGTCGACGAGAGCGATGGAAGCATCCTGGCCACTGGCTACACCCTCGAGCTTGAGGGCAATACCCATGCAGAGCAGTGCGCCCTGCAGAAGTTCGCCTCGGCCCACGGCCTGTCTGAAGACCGTGTGGGCGAGGCCCTTCCGGCGCACACGGCCATCTACACTACAATGGAGCCATGCGGGGTGAGGCTGAGTGGGAATTTGCCGTGCGTGGACCGCATCCTTCGAACCAAGAGCACCGGCAAGGGCATCAGAAAGGTCTACCTGGGCGTCAAGGAACCCGAGAAATTCGTGGGAGAGAACGTTGGAAGAGCAAAGCTGGAAGAGCAGGGCATTGAGTGCGTCCATGTGTCGGGGTTGGAAGAGGACATTCTGGCGGTTGCTACCGCTGGCCATGAGAAAGCCTGAGGCCGGCGCTGGTGAGCCGGGATGGGGCCGGTAAGTGCATCGCCGACTCCGCACATGACAGCGTACATCAAACCCACGCCTGGTTTCTTTATTTATAAAATGTATCCGATACGTGCGGAATCTCTGCCGCGGGCAGTCGAATTGCGTCACGACTCTGCTTTAGTCTAATCCGTTTTCGGCAATCAACTCAGCCCCTCTGACGTACAGTACAGACGACTATAACTATACCACGTCTGATACTGCTTCAACTTCTCAAACGGCACTCGTCCATCCTACCTCATGCCCCAATTCACCCAACGCTCCCTCCAAGCGTTTGCTAGACCCTTTCTCCTACCCATCCGAGTTCGATACGCGCCCACATCGCAAGCTCGCACCATGGCAACCAGTTCGTGAAAGAAACAACCTCTCCGCTCTGCGGAACTTGCACTGACCGTCCCTTCTTTTAAGACGAAGAATTGAAAATCGAGAACACCAACATCAAAACCGCGCCGGGCGTCGAGCTGTCGTCGGACCAGAAAACCATCGTCGGCAGCGTCCTCGACCTCTTCGCGGGAAGGCCGTCCCTGGCCAAGCTCCGCTTGTGGTCCGATGAAGCTGTCTTCGAGGACCCCATCACCCAGGCGCGGGGCAGAAAGCAGTATGAGCCGCAATGGGTAATGACATCCTTTCTCCCCCTTCTCTCCCTAGTGTTCTGTTCACTCCAAAAGAGCAACGCCTTCAAGCCCCAAACGCCACACAACAAACATAAAGAAATAGATGAAAAAAAAAAAAAGAGAGAGAGAAAACTGACACCCGCCACAGTACGGCCTCCAAACCGCCTTCTCCGAAATCGAGCGTCTGCACCACGAAGTGACGTCCTCGGGCAACCCCATCACCATGTCGCTCAAGACGCGCTACGTGGTCAAAGGCATCAACAAAGAAACCACCATCGATTCGATCGTCAAGATCACGACCGACGGGCGCCTCATTACCAAGGTCGAGGACCGCTGGGACGGAAACCTCCCGGACAGCGGCATCGCCAATGTGAGTAGAAGTGACGTCTGGCAGCTGGCCAACCCCTTTTGGTGGGCGAATTACGGGTTCGCGTGGGCGTGGTGGGGCGCCAGTTGGGTGTGGTGGTCGACGCCGTGGTTGGTGCGTCCAGGCGCTGCTGCCGTGCTCGGTCGTCTGATCTCTTTGCTGACTGTTTTGTCTTTTCTTGTGTGCAGGCGTTCCGGCGACTCAATGCCGTCAGCGTGCCGAAAATGGTCGGCGTGCCCAAGAATGACGAGGAGGACGCGAAGAGGGGCAATCAGTGATGGTCTCGACATGCAGAAGCGACAACATAAATTTACGTTTTGTACGAGAGATGCCTCTATTACCTCTATCCTACCGTCATCGATCCATACTCGCCACGAATTCTTTCGAATTTGCTCATGAAGTCATAATCTCATCAGATATACCTCCCACATCCCGTGAACATTCCGCATGACGCCAATATCCTCCCCGCCTCTCTTTTTCGCCATGAATTCAATAGAATAAACCAACTGCCCCTCGTACATCAGTTTACTCATCTCATTCCAGTCCCAGCTCCTACTATACATTGGCCCCCACTCTCCGCGCTCCCGCCAACCATGCACCCATCAATATATTACCGACGACCGCAATCGGCACGCCCCACCCATACCAGCCCCTGCCCCCGTACATTCCACTCCACGCATCGTTCACCACGAGGATAGTTCCGCAGCTTCCTGCGCGCGTGGTCGGCAAGCCGGGACCGTCTGCTGTTAACGTCGAGCAGTAGCCAGCGTAGACGGCACCGTCCCCGTCATTGTTATTGTTGTTGTTGTTGTTGTTGTTCCCCGCGGCGCCGACGTAAGCGGTCGTTGTCGTGGGCTGGGCGTTGCCTCCGCCGGCAACGTATTGCGTCTGGGTTTGGTAGATGGTGACGGTGACGGTCGAGATGGACTGCGCGTTGACGTAGCCGCTGCACGTGGAGCCCGAGGGGCAGCAGCCGACGACGTTCGAAGAGCTGAGGTACTGGCAGGTGTGGTCGGTGGGACAGCACCTGTTTCGTTTTCCATGCGTCAGTCGTAGCTCTCGCGCGGCTCGCAATTCTTCCCAACAGTGTGAGGTGTCGTCCTGTCTGCTTTTGCTTCTTTTTTCTTTTCCGCATGTCTCTTTTCTCTCACGCCCATGGAAGGCTTACCAGTTCGCATATCCAATGCCGCTGCAACTCAGCGCAGCGTACTGCGGACAGTACGCGGGGGAGGCCTGGGTGATTTGTGTGCCATCCGCACCGATGATATAGATGGCGCCAGAGAAAGGCGCATATACATCTTGCGCCGCTGCGCCGGGAAGATGCTCAAGCACAGCCAAGAAGAAAAGCGCGATCAATGCGACAATAGTGCGATGGCAGGAGAAACGACAGAGAAGGGACGATGCTGGTCGCCGTGTTGGTGGCGGTAGCACTGGTACCTCTATTTCTACTTCTCCGGTCTCGATTTTCCAAAACATGTTCCTCCGGCACGTCCCTTTTTTTTTCTCCTTTCTCAAACAAGGTCTTTGTCTCTCGTATGGCGGTTGGAGTTGTATAAATCGAATGGTCCGGCGGTGGTAAAGAGCAAGATATGCGACTTAGTTGGAAAGCTGGAGATCTTATGCGCGCGGTAGCATAGCAGGCTCTCAGATGGTTCGATTCAATAATGCAGGCTCCCCAGCGCGAGGCGCAAAGCGGCGCGAGGCTCGACGGCGGTGTGGTCAAGTGCCCCACAGTTGATGAGCTGGGGGTGGAGACGAGTCCTGTGCTTTCCCAAAAGACGTTGTAGAAGTGTGAACAGGGGAAACGAGAAGCAGGACTTTTTTAACGAGTGACGGGAGAAAAGGAGAGAGAAGCAGGCGAGCAACTGCAAGCGGCAGGAGGAGGAGGGGCGAGAAGATGAGTAACAGGAATGTGCCCCGCGCCGGGAAGCCACTGCCGCGGGAGAGTGCAGAGACAGTGTGGGCGGGTGAGACATGGGCGGGAGAGGGAAGGAACGAGCAAAGCACGGGGAGGCGCCATGTCAGGCCAGCGAGCTATCCAGATTAGGCAACGAGCTCGTGTGGGAGGCGGCGTGAGCTCTGGTGGGGGAGCTGCAGCTGCCATGGAGCTTTGACGGACAGGGAGTGGGGAGCTGCAGTGGTGCCGAACGCGACCGGGATGCGCAGCTGCATGCCGCTGTCTCGTGCTGCTGCTGCTCTCCCGCCAGCAAATCCCGCCTGCATCCGATCGCGACCTGCCCTCCTGTCAGCAGCCTGTCGTCATTGCATGCATGGCCCGGCGCCCGAGCAAGCCCGGCCTGGGCCTCTTCAGCCCATCTGGCCGCGTCGCCCGCGTGCCGCCAGCTCGCAAATGCCCAATGTGCCACTCGACCATTGGACAAAGCATACGCCTCATCTTGCTGCACGCCCGCCGGTGAGGCTGCTGCTGCTTGCCTCACGACTGAGACTCGTTCCGTTTGCTCGCCACCCGAGTTGCGCTTGCCAGCTGGACAGCAGGAGTGAGATGGCTTGCCTTGGGGCTTGAGTGCAGTAACGGAAGCCGATAGAGATGGTGGTGGGCCAGTCGTCCTCCCCTATGTGTAAGCATCCTCGCCGTTCGGCCTGCTTCAGAGCCACGGTCAGCTTTCTCTGGGCATCCGAAAAGCAGGAAGCATCTCCGTCTTACGGATTATCATCTGCAGCGAAAACCAAGGCTGTTCCCGGGTTGGTACCATCGGCAGCTGCGATTTGCCGGGAGAGGGCGGGACCTGGAAGTACCCTCGGTCTTGCTGCCTCTTCTCTCCCCCACCAAGCGGGGAATAATCCAGTCCTTGCAGTTTTCAACATCCTGATTGCGAAGTGCCAAGCAAATGTTCGGTAACTACTACCCGCTTATCGAATGTGGTTCTGCCGCCTTGCAATCGTTGTTCGGGGAAAGGGAGGCCACGACTTCCCAAGATGATTCAATGTCGAACCAAATCGCAGCACGACAAATCATACTTCGATAACCACGGTCAACATCTCACAAGACCTTTTTTCTTTAACAAAGGATTCATTCTCAAGCCACAGCCGCGCCAGATCAGCACCACCAACAGAATACCAAAAAAAAAAAAGCGCGCACCACATCACCCTACCAATTACACCCTCCCTCACCCACCCACACATCCGCGTGAAACCCCACCCCCCCACCTCACCCAACCCGATAACTCTCCGGCGGCCCCAAATAACTCTCCCTCACGCCCCCCAAATCCAGCACCACCTTCTGCACCACCACCCCCGGCTCCAGCGCCCACACCTTGACCGTATGCCTCCCCGCCTCCCTCAGCGGCGCCGCCCACCCGCCCGTCGTGCTCACCCACGCCGCGTCCGCGACCGCCGCCTCCCACCCCACCGGCAGCTGGCCCTCGGGCTGGTCCGTCACGTACGCGACTTCTTGCAGCGAAGACGAGTCGTCGTCGATGGCGACGGCGTAGCGAAGCGGTCGCGAGGGGTCGGTGTTGAGCGAGGGGGAGAGGTAGAGGGTTAGGTTGGCGCCCGTGGTGGTGTTGTTGGAGGAGGGAGGTAGGGTGGTGAAGGTGTAGATGTCGTATTCGAGGGGTGGGGCGAGGGAGGGGGAGAGAGGGGGGGAGAGCGCGTCGCGGAGGTGGACGCCGGAGAGGGTGCGGCCGTAGGAGGGGATGACTTGGTAGGGGTCGGTGGAGGAGGAGGAGGAGGAGCTGTTGGCGGAGCTGCCGATGCGGGTGTAGTGCGCGGCTTCGATGGAGATGTGGCCGTCGGATTCGACGAAGCCGGCGGTGAAGGATGGGGGGACGGCGGTGTGGTTGTAGGGGAGGAGGATGGATGGCATGCTGAATTGCGTGCCGTAGTCGGTGCTCGAGGTGATGTTGATGGTGGTCGTGTTGGAGCCGGCCGGGGCGTTGGCCCAGTCGACCGAGACGTAGATGCGCACGTCGGTGTTGTTGCCGGTGGGCGAAAGAGTGCCCGAGGTCTGGGAGAACTCGATCCAGGACGCTGCGGAGACGTTCCAGGAGAACTCGTTTGTTCCGGAAGCGTAAATGTCGATCCAGCGCTGGGGGCTGTAAGGGTCGATTGGCGGAAGGGTGAGGCTGTTGGATGAGAGGGTGTGGTACTGGTCGTCGCCAGGAACTGACGCATTGCTCCCCTCTACCGATACGCCCATGTCGCCCCGCAGAGAGCGCTCCAGCGTTTGAACATACTGGAGTGGCGGGGTGACCTGGCGCATTGGTTGCTGCCAGTAGACATAGCCCAGATGGGTTTGATCCATCATGTGATCCCATTTACCTCCCAAAAGCCCATTGTATCGCTGCGTCAGCTCGTGATCATAGTTGAACTTGTCCAGAACTCTCTGAGCCCATGCATTCGCGCTTGTACGGCCTTGTGCCGCATACAGCCGGTTCTTTGCAGCGCTGATGTGAATGTCGTATACATTACCCCCAGCCAGGACAGGGTGCAAAACCATCTGAAAAAAAGAGGGCTGTGCGGCAGCCGGCAAAGAATCGTAGATGCTCTGAGCGTTGCTGGCAAGAGACTGCCATTCAGCGAGCATGTTGTCTGCCTCTTCGTAGTTGATGAGGCTGTAGGTGCTCGGATCCATGAGCTCATACTTCCTCTTTGCGACCAACGTGCCATACTTTTGGAGGACATCGGCGGTTCGTTGGGAAACGCTGGCGCCAAACTCGCGGGCAGCGAATTGCTGTGTCCATTTCGAGGTGCTATTGACATCATATAGGCTGATGTCGTAAGCCAGATCGAACAGATGGCTGATTGGGATTTCCTGTTTCCGTTAGGCAAAGTTGGTTCAACCAAATCCGAGAGTGCTTACCAGAGGTTTGATATCTCCCACATTCACAATCCACATCTCCCTCGCGCCCTTCTCGTAAGCCATGTGCATCTGCTCCCACGTATGCTCGAGTTGTACCGCGTTGATCCACTTGTGGTTTCTCGGGTCGCCAACATAGTCGAAGTGGTAGTAAACACCAGCACCACCGGGCCGGTCGGTCTCATTACCTGCAGGCAGCCTCCTGTTGTTCCCCCAGTTGTCATCGGCCCACAATAGTATAACATCGTCGGGAACCCTCATTCCTGCCTCGTAATAGCCCTGGACTTCTTTGTACAAGCACCACATTTGAGGAACGGCGCTGTCGCTGCCATAGACGTCGGTCAGGATCTGCCGCTGAGTATCCACAATGTCCTCAAGCATTTCAGTCTCGACATTATCGCTCATGGCAGTGTCGGCGCTGCCACGCATGCCGATTGTCACCACGCTCTCGTATGGCTTGGCGCGCTCGACGCCTTCGACGAAAAAGGGGTAGATGGACTCGTTGTTGGTGTTCCATTGCCATGAGCCCTTGCCAAAGGTAGTCCACTCGTTCGTCGCACGCATCATAGGCTCGGTGTGGGAGGTTCCCATGATAATGCCATACTCGTCGGCGAGCGGCTGGTTGCGTGGGTCGTCGACGTTGAACATGGAGGCCCACATGGCAGGCCAGAGATAGTTGGCGCGCAGTCGAAGCAGCAACTCGAACACCATGGCGTAAAACTCAGCGCCGAAGGCGGAGCCGTATTCGCTCTTCGGATAGCGTTCGTTCATCCATCCGGTCAAGGCGGGGGCCTCGTCGTTGATGAAGAAGCCGCGGTACTTCACCGAGGGCGGGCCTTGGATTTTGATGGTGTCGATGGCATAGATGGCGTCGTGGCTGGCGGGAGATGAGTCGGCCATGAAATACCATGGGGACACTCCGATCTGCTCAGAAATGTCGTAGAGGCCATATATAGTGCCGCGCTTATCGCTGCCTGGAAGCAATCAGCATCGAATCCCATCGCAAACGGGCGGTCTTAAAGGGCAACGTACCAGCAATCACGAGCGCCCTCGACACTCCACTCACAGGAGATTCAACAAGCTGCGAAGTGAAGGATTCCCATCGACCTTCAATACCAGAGACATCAAGCTTGCCAGAATCCACAAGGTCTTGAATGAGAGTCGAATTTCCAAGTGTTCCGGCAATGATGACCCCAGAGCTGTTGTTGGTTGTGGAAGTGGCGGTAGTCCAGCTCGACCTCCCCGTCACATTGAAAATGACCGAAGCGTTCGCAGTAGAGGCGTCGCTATTGGCAAGCGACAACGAGCCATTGAGGCCAGTGATGCGTCCAAAATCAAGGGCAAGGTCATCCGCGACTCTCAAGACACCGGGCCAATCCGCAGCATCGAGCATCAAGCCTACGGATGATGACCTGGAGGCAAGCTGGTAGCTGCCGGCAGAGACGTTGAAAGCAATGGTAGCATTTTGGCCAATGGCAAGGGCAGACCTGAACAGCAGGAAGGAGGACACGAGACGCATCAAGAACCACATGCTGCCGGGGGTGGACGAGAAAAAGGCGGGGAAAGAAGGAGCCTCATGCAGGAGAAAGAAGGTCGATGAGGAGGCGGGATAAATACATATTAACTGCAGCACGCGTGACGTTGCCCTCGATGCTCGACTCAGGGACAGGCACAGTGAAGGCCCAAGCCGGCAATATTAGACAGGGTAAATACAAAGGAGACCGAGCTCACGGGCGCAGTGCGAGTCAACTGCAGTTGGCATGGATTTACCCCAGATGCGGAGAAGACAGAAGTGGCAGACTCTGGGGAAGGGCACGAGCCTCGGAGCGCGCCAGAAGCTTCCCTGTACAGGTGGTCATTTCGGGGTGCTCTCGCAAGGCATTCACCCGAGCACCGGGTAAATGGAAAATGCAAGCGTGACGACGGACGAGGGCTCGCGAAAAGGCGGAGAAGGATCCATCGTCCGTGTGTCTCCGCAGATGCCGACGCGTCAAGGCGGCGTCCAGCGGCAGAAACATTTTGGCCGCCTTTCGCTGGTATCCGCTGCCCTGTTGCTACCACTGTTACCACTGCGCGCCCAGCAACGTCGTCCTACCGCCAGTCCGCTCTTCCACCGCTTGCCCGAGGCAGAAACAAGCCCTGGACATGGCTCAAGGCGTCATCAAGCAAAAGGCGAAGCCCGCCGCCGGAAGCGCGAAGAAGTGAGTTGCCGCCGCCGCGCACTGCTTGCACCGACTTTTCGCTAACGACAATTCTCTCGCAGAGGCAGCGGAGCGCTGAAGCCTCGCGGAAGCCGCCAAATCGCCCCCAAGAAGCAAAAACTCATCCAGCAGAAGAAGCTGCTGAAGAAGCACTCGTCCGGGTTGGCCGCTGTGACCGAGAAGCAACTCGCCGAGAAGGCCGGCCACTTGGAAATCCTGAAGGGAGGCAAGAAAGACAAGAAGAAGGAGAGCAAATGAATAGACCGGATGTTTGATCAGTCTGCGGCAGTCACAACCACAGCGCCCCCGTCCCATGCCTTGGCAGGCAGAGACAGATGTGGCTGCTCCGAACACGGCATTGAAGGGCGTTTGTCGGGATAATGTGTTTGATCTGGGCATCATATGGCGTTTGGGGTATACCAAGAAGCGTGGCAACAGTGAAACTCTCACCCCGTATTTGCGATAAACCAAGAGCATTCTGCACTTTCTATCATGGCTTCTTCTTTGTGGAAATTCAATTTCTGTCGTGTTTGATATCTCATCATTCTCCATACAACGTCAAGGGAATCCGACCGAGCCGTACGCGCCGGGATAATTCCTGTGCATGCGGTGCATACTACACCTGCCAAGCAGCCGTCATAAACTTCGTGCTTCCACTCGTCATGTTCGCAGCAATCTGGCGCTTAGATAGCCCGCGCTGCTTCTCCGCCGCCGCTCTCTTCGGCTCTCTGGCGGGCCTTTCCTCTTCCAATCCCGCCCTCGCCTACACCCATTCTCCTGGCTACGTATCGCTGTGCAATGACGCCAACAGCCAGCTGAATCACCTCTTCCATCCACTCGGCGACCCACTCCCGCGGGTCCACACCGCCGCCCTCGATGATCTCCTTGATCTCCACTGGCAGCGTCGCCACAGGGTCCGTGCTATCCTCCGGGCTTGGGGCAGCCGACGCGTCCAGCCAGTCTGCCCATTTCTGCGGGAAGCTTTGGGATACGGTATGGAAGGTGATGCTGTGGATGGGGTCGTGCAAGTAGATGGCAAAGGCGATGAGGTCGTCCGACTCGGCCGGCTCCTCGACGCCACCCGTCTCCGCCTCCTTCTTCTCGTTGGTTGAGCCTCCGAAAAGATCGGCGGGGGCGCTGTGGCTGATTGCTTGGATCGCCAGGAAAATGTCGGAGCTCCTCACGGGGTTCGATTCGGACAGCACCTCGCTGGCTGACTTTGCAGCTTCCTCGACGCCGCCCTTGCTGGCAAAGAACTCGGAAGCATAGCTCTCAGCGCTAACCCGCGTGAGCTTGGTCCCCTCGACCAGACCCTTGACCGCGCCAAGGTCACGCTTGATGCCGATGTCACGCCACCAGGGTCCGTCAGTCCAACCGGCTGTGCTACCTCCAGCGAAACCAGAGTCGGGGCCCTGGCGGGCTTCAGAGCCCTTCTGAATTACCATGAGATCGCCGCCTTCAACCTGGGACATGACGCGCGAGAACGTGGCGTAAATGATCGGGTCGAGCGCCGGATAGTTGTGCATGTCATGGGTAATGTGGATCAGGAGGCGCTCGTGCTGGGAGATAGGAGGCGCCAAAGTGTGGAGAAGTTGTGTGAATGTAGGGACGGCACGCGAGCGAAGTTCGCCGCCTGTTGTGAACGGTCAGCCAGCCATTACTTGACGCGGGAGGACAAGGTTGGGTTGCGAGTATGCCCGGCCGGCCCAAGTGACATTGTGACTCCGAGTGTGGAAATCATGTAGCCCTGGAAAAAATACCGTTGCGCATCTGCTGCAGAGACCCATGTGTCAGGCAACTCACCATAGGACCGCAAAATACCAACGCCTCCCTTGGCCTGTTCGGCCCATTTCTGAGCTTCCTCGTTCTTCTGGATCTCCTTGAGGGCGGTCTCGGCCTGCTTTGCAGCTGCGGATGCGGTACTGAGGATGCTGCCCCACCAGCCACCGCCACCAGCAGACTGCTTCTGCTCCTGGGCTTGAGCAGAGCCTTGCTCCTCGTGTGGGGTCACGCCCTGGTGGTAGGAGCGCGTGCCGTCCTGCGACTTCCGCGAGTGGTCGGCGGCGGTGCCCTTGTCTTCGCTGTTGCGCGTCGAGTCGGTCGAGGGCGTGACCTGGCCGGTGCGGCGCGGCGAGCGATTGCTGGCATTGGAGGAGGAGGAGAGCTTGGGGGTTGCAGCGCGGCTGGGCGGCTTCGCGGCTAGAGCAGCAAGCTCGGCGACGGGGTCGTCATCGTCCTTGGTGTCGGCGGTGGCAGGGCCGGACTGCTGGGGCGCTGGGTTGGGGAGGTCTTCGCCGTCGAGATCGTCGAACTGGGCGAGCAGCTCCTCCTTGGACATGGGCTTGGACATGGTGGGTTCGGCGGTGCTGGGTGGGAGCAGGAACAACACCAGCGTGTCCTGGGTCGTGGGCGCGATCCCTGTGATCCGGGGAAGCGCGGCCAGCTGCCTGAGGCGGGCGCTGATTGGCGTTTTAGGCAAGCGCTAGGCCCAGGAAAGATACCACGACACGAAATGCTCGACTGCCAGGATTGTCCAGCATCCTCGCAGACTCTGCACACCACCACCGCGGTTCCGCCCGCCCCGAGCTCTGCAAGCCTGCTGCGCTCTTGCCGTCGCGCTGTCCTCTGCCAGCGCGCTGCCCGGCCTCGCTGCGACCGCCGCCTGCGGGCCTCCCCTTTCCTGTGTCTCTTGTCTCACTGTCTAATTTGACCTCCGAACCTCGTCCGACCACACGACCATCAATTCACCCCCACCCGCATCCGCACTCGCTTGCTGCCTCTGCCCCATTGCCGCCCCCAGACCCTTCTTCTCTCTCTGCGGCGTCGACCGCAGCCCACGGCACTGATTTTGGGCGCGGCCTGTCACGATGCGCACCCGTAGCGGCAAGGGCAAACTCTCCGAATCCGCCACGCCTGCTCCCCAGAGCCACGACACCAGCCTCGACGCCTCGTCGTCGGGCTCGCCAAAGACCTCGCGCAAGCTGACCCGTTCATCGTCCAACAACTCAATGCATTCCCAAATCTTCGTCGCCGCCAAGGACCACGGCCCCGGCGCCTATTATGCTAGGCCCGTCCTGACCATTTCCGGCCTGCCCGAGCACTTCCTCGCCCGCCTGGAGCGTGAGGACGAGCTGCGCCAGCGCTCCTCACGGCCCAAGTCTCTTTACGAGCAGTTCCAGGAAATCGAGCGCGAGAGCTCCAGCCAGAACGAAGACCCGTCCCAAAATGGCAACGACCACGAGCGCCCGAAGCGAGGCAATCGCGGCCGCCCAGCCAAGATCCAAAAACACCAGCCTTCGCCCCGGCGGCGCCGCGCTCGTCCACGCAAGTCGCTCGCTGACGTCGACGAGGAAGACTTCATGTCGCGCCCGCAGACGCCCAGTGTGGCCGATGCTGACGAAGACGCCAACCCGGATGCCGCCGATCCGCCGTCCGACGACGACCTGAGCGAAGCAGCTGATCAAGACCAAGCCGACGACTCGCACTCGCCAGAGGAGCCCGACGCAAGTCCCTCGCAGCAACTCATCAATGAGACTGCCGGCGCTTACAGGTCCACTGCTACCTCGGCCCGGAGCCAACCCTCACCTCCTCGCGAGCCCCGGCCCCGCCCGACCTACCTGGATGAGGAATTGGAAGACGGAGACCTTCCGCCACCCTTCTCCAACACCCCCGGCACCCCTTCCGAGTCGGAAGTTGATGATGATGCCAACCGTATCCTCAGGAAGCGCTTCGACTACATGACCGATCCCGGCAAGTTTATCGCTGCTCTTACTAAGCATCTGCCCTCTGAAAGAACGTCCGATATACTGTACGCGCTTGCTGAAAACACCCAAGCCGCCCTGGAAGCATGGCAGGACGAGTACCTCGCCATCGACAAACGGGTTGCGGCACACGCGAACAATGGTCCCAGGAAACCGGTAAACGGTGGCCGTGTGCCCGTTGACCCCGTCGTCTTTGAGGATCAAAAGGAAGCCGACATCTACAGCTACGTTTATGATTCACGCAAACCTCCGGGAACCCAGGATCCCTTCAGTCAGCGCATTGGCACCGACTACGTCGGCGGTCGCGAGCTGCGGCATAGGCGTGCCCGAGATGTCACTACCGAGGACCTAGCTCAAAGCGAGGAGGAAGTTGGGAAGAGGAAGAGGCGGGCAGCCCAACGATTCGATGGAACGGCGGACTCTGGTTCGCGCACCCGCAAACGTGAGCATGCCGGATCCGAAACCCCGGAACCGCCCGTTTCTCGGAAGAGAGGTAAGGTTGGCAGCGCAACCAAGAGGCAATCCGTCGTGCCAGCCCGTATTCGCGAAATGAGAGGCGAGAGCGCCATGACTACCAGTGCTTCTGAAGACGACGATACCTACGAAGGAACACCGGAACCGCGCGGGCCTGGTAAGCGACGTGGAAGACCGCCGGGGAGCAAAAATCTCGCTCAACGTAAGGATGCCGGTATCAAGAAAGGGCCACGAGGGAAGAAGGGTGCTGCTGCGGCCCAAGCCGCTGTAAATGCTGCAAACAACGAGCAGAACAGCACACAGACAACCTTCCCCAGTGCTCCCAGCGCCGTCACCGCCGCGCCGCCGCAACAACCCCAGCAACAGCAGCCCTTCTTCGTCCAGGGCTACAATCATGCCCCGCACTCAAACATTCCTCCCGTCTCAGCTGCGCCAGTGCCAGGCATCAATGCCGATCCTACCTTTATATCCGCCCATCCCCAACAAACAGCTCAGAATCCGTACGGTGCAGGAGTGGCCAGTCAATCTTCGATCGCTCCTGGTACTCCTGCCCAAGCAAATGGTCACGCACAGCATGTTGCGGCGCCAACTTCAACGCCTGCCTCGACCACGCAAGCAGCACAAACGCCCACGAGTGCTGGTAGTAGCACCACCACTGCCTCTGGTCGCAAGAAAGGCGTGAAATCAGAGAAACGTAGTGCCAGTATGACGCAGTGGTGGGCAGAACGCAAGGCTCGCCAAGCAGCAGACCGTCTCGCTGATCAACAGCGTCAGCACCAAGCTGAGGTGCAGAATGCCGCAGCTGCCCAAAATCCGCAAGGTTATGGCTTACCGGTGAATGGATACAAAGGCCCGTATCCGCCGACCCAGCCGGCTTTCCAGAGCTACGCTACGACTCAACCGGCGGCGCAACAAAGCAGCTTTAGAGCCATCGCCCCGGGCCCTCACCAGGGCCAAGGCGCGCAAGCACAAGCACAGACCCACCACCATCATCACATTCCGCAGACGACTCATCACCACCACACGCCTCCCGCCATCAGTCACCCGTCAACACAAGCGACACAGCCAGCGAAGCAGGCGGTTCATCACGGACCGTTTGGTTATGATGGTGCGGGCAGTCCGCCACCACCTATTCACGGCAATATGCAGCAAGGGCAGCCGCAGCAGGGTGTTCCAGACAGCCTCCGTCGCGACATTCTAGGATTGAGGGGCAAACCCGAGCCGAGGCGCGGTTTATGATTCTAGACGTCTGGCCAGCACAAGCGGGGAATGGCGAGCGGCGTGCCATTGAGATTTGCATTCGTGCCACACAAATGTATTCGCGTTATCGGCTGATGAGCACGGGAGACCCGCACCATCCCTTCGATTATTCTGGCTTGATTTTGACAGCCTTGTAGCGTCGCGTTAGCGTGCCTTAGCACGACTAATTAAGCGGTTTTGCCGGTTCGCTCCTAGAGACCCTGCCTTACCATACTACAGAGAGTCTGGGCAGTGGTTAGGCGGATTTAATTACAGGGATGAATTGCAATCGCTAGAGTCACCGTTGTTGGCGAAAGGCGGAATGCTACATCTTCTAGAGCTATCCGGTTTAGCAGGTCCTTTCTTCCGCATTTTTTCTTTTACACATGGGCCGCCCTTTTCACTTTTCCGAGCGTCAGGGCGAGTCATTGCATTTAGGCGTATGGGGATTGCATATTTGCTTATATTTTATCGTCTCTCGCGGGTATTGTCCATCTTATCGCATCAATCTATGGTCAGAAGGGTTTTATGCATGGCTGTGGCGGGTGAGGTATATATTCATCGCTTCCAAAACTGGGCGGGCCTCTCTTTTTTTTTTTGTTTCGATATCCCAAGTCTAGTAATATGCGGAAACACAATCTGCGACTTTTTCCATGGCATCGAACTTCTCCGAAACGTCTCCGAGTGGATGAATAGTGGCATCGAAGTAAGCATGACTCGGGCTTGTTAAGGTGGCCATAAATTTGACCCCCTCCTGGGAAAACGACTTTTTCTCCGTCGCTCACCTCAAATTCATTTGCAAAATGGTAGGCAAACTCGGAGAACTCGCTGGCATCCCACACCTATTACTACCCACCGATTCGCCGCGCTTATAATATTACGAAAACTAACCCAAGCGATAACCTCGTAGGCATAGTAGGCATAATAAGCATAATAGGCATAATAAGCATAATAGGCATAACAGGCATAGTAGGTATAGTAGGCACGGCAGCCGGTAACGGTTACTCGAGGTGCGGCCTTTGTTAATGCGAGTTCAAGCAATCGGTCGGAACGTGCCATCAATGTCCGTCCACACACGCTAGCTCACACTCAGACTCGGACTTTGGTGGTGATCGAGCGCTTCCCTCACTTGGCGGCAAGGAAACGTGCTGTCCAATACAATCTTCTCTTTTATCAGTGGAGACGGTTTCGCTACAATACAAGGTTGATGTCGCTGGCAGTACGATTGTGAGTGAAAAAACAGTGGGGTGAGTGAAGCGTTGGTATTGATGCAAAGACAATTAAAACTGTATTATGAAACCAAATAGACAGAGTCTCGACTCCCTGGATGACATCGCAAGAGCAACACCGTCAACGTAGCAAGATAACAACATGGTTCGACTGCATATGCACAGTGCATATTTGAACTTCAATTGGAGAGGCGGCAAGGCTGAGTTGCTCCCAGCTATGTACAGGTACAGTTTCGTGAGCGAAAGAGCTGCTTCTTTCGATGTAAATCATCGAATGTCTCAAACCACGTCAAGCGGCGACTGCTAGCGCCTCTACATGCATGTACCACCAGAAATTATTACTAAATGCGGGTGGCGGCGCTGATAAGAAGAAAATCGCTCGAATGCAAGCCAAACGCACGAGTCCGAGGCTGGGGCAGCACAAACCAGCTCAGCGGCGGCCGGCCGCCTTGTCCTTGATGTTCGTCATAGCCAGAGTGGTGGGCGTTTGGATTCCAACCGGCCCCGGAGTAGTGGAACGAGAAGGAGCCTGGCTACGGTTGTGGCTCATATGCGCCTGGACGAGGTGGCCTGCAGCGAGCGCACTGCACAAGCTGAGCTCACCCGCCAGGACCGCAGCAGCGATGATGCGAGCAAGCTGGCGGGCGTTGTCACCGGGGCTGGTCGGGTGTGCTCCCCTGACGCCGAGCAGATCAAGCATGGCGTTCTGAGGTTCTAGGATGGTGCCACCACCGATGGTGCCGACCTCGATCGAAGGCATGGAGACCGAAATGTGCAGGTTGCCGTTCATGCTATTTCCTGTTAGTACTGGCTGTATCAGGGGATTTTGGTTGGAACTTACTTCTTCATGACGGTAATACAGTTGCTGCTCTCCACATTCTGAGCCGGGTCCTGTCCAGTTGCCAAGAAGATAGCGGTGACAATGTTCGCGGCGTGCGCGTTGTAACCACCGATACTTCCAGCCATGGCTGATCCAATCAGGTTCTTGGCAATGTTGAGCTCAACCAGTGCATCCACGTTGCTCTTCAAGACGTTCTTGACCACATCAGCTGGGATGATAGCCTCCGCCACCACACTCTTGCCACGTCCGTCCACCCAGTTGATAGCAGCGGGCTTCTTGTCCGTACAGAAGTTTCCAGAAACAGAGATAATGGCCATGTCCTCGAATCCGCCCTCGTTCTTCATGATGCTCAGAGCGTGCTCAACACCCTTAGAAATCATGTTCATACCCATGGCATCGCCAGTGGTCGTCTTGAAGCGAATGTACAGGTAGGTTCCAGCCAACGCCGTCTTCAACGACTGGAGACGAGCAAAACGGCTGGTGGAGTTGAAGGCGGCCTTCATGACCTTCTGGCCCTCCTCGGAATCAATCCAGACCTTGGCCTGTCCAGCCCTAGCCAGAGTCTCGAAGCCAACGCAAGGACCGCGAGTCATGCCGTCGCCGGTGAGAACAGTGACAGCGCCACCGCCGGCGTTGATGGCCTTGCAGCCGCGACTCGTACTAGCGACCAGGACACCTTCAGTGGTAGCCATGGGCAGGAAGTAGTTCTGGCCATCAATGTTGAGGGGACCGGCAACACCAAGAGGAAGGGGAAGATAGCCGATGACGTTCTCACAGCAGGCGCCGTGGACGAGGTCGTAATTGTAGTGCTCATAGGGCAGCTTGGATTTTTCGAGAAGGAAAGACGTTTGACGGGTAGCATGGGTGCGGGAAACGACTGCTCTGCGGATCTTCACAGCGCGAACCTTGTTCTCCAACGTCTTTTCGAGAGCATAACCAGGAATCTTGCCCCGAACAGCAAGCTCGATCAGTTCCTCGTCGGTCATTGAAGGGGCCTTCTTCTCCTTCAGAAGAATCTCAAGCTCGTGCATAGGGCGTTTGGGGCCAGACGGGTCAACTTGGTGCGCGGTAGGCTTCATCTCTAGTCCATCATCGGAATCGTCGTCTTTCCTGATAGTAGCCGGCGGGATAGCAGGAGTGAGGGGGCGAAGAGGAGCACCAGAATCAACAAGTCTGACGTTGCTAGGAGCCTTGTCCATGACCTCGTACTCCTCAGGAGGCTTGATGTTGCTGGGCTGGGTGTGGTCCTTGATGGACCAGCGCGCAGCGTTGAAAAGATAGCCGTTGAAAGCCAAGCTAAGAGCCAGAGCAACGATGATCCACTTGCTGAGGACGGGGTCCTCAAGGCTCTTCAGCACACCATCAACCACGCGACCACCCATGCCGTCCATCAACTGATCCTTGTAGTTTCCACCGAAAAGGCTGGAGACAGGCTCCTGGATGGCGTAGTGGACCGAGGGATATTCGAGCTCGTACTTGATGGGTGTAAGAACGGTAACCAGCGCAGCAGTGTTCTTCGACTTTGCGGAAGTCACAATTGTGTCCAGAGCGTTACCCGCGACCTTGAAAGGATCCATGGCAGCGGGGTTGACCATACTGGCAAGTCCAGAAGACGCGCTGGAGCTGTAGTATCCACTGCGGAAGGGAATGGTGCAGACGTTCAGAATGTTTACGACGATGAAGCCCGTGACCATAAGAACCTTGAAGCGAGGGACACTGGTCTCCTTCATCTTTTTGCCAAAGCCCGGAATGTCAGTGTGGGCAGCACTGCCGTCCTCGGTACCGGAAGAGCTAAGTGAGGGCCAGTCGTTGTTCGTAGCGACGTTCTCGGCCACACTGCGGCTCACACCATCGTCCTCAAGAGCCTTGCGCAGAGAGACATGGCGCTTGATACGGTTGATCTCGAGCTTGATGGTGAGAATGGCAGTGTAGAAGGTCAGGAGCAGGAGAGAATCGAAGAAGAGAATCCAGGCCGCGAGAAAGCAAAACTGGCGCAGACCGCCCTGGACGCCCGAGAAGGCGCCTGCGACCAGGATCAAAATCTCAACAAAGTAGTCGCGGACGATTTCAAAGCCCTTTTCCTTGACTGCGGTGGTAACAGCATACTGGATTGTCAACGGCGTGTTATCGCCGATGGCGGAATGACGCCGGCGCGCATCCAGAGAAGCAGAAAGCACGGCCTTGGTCAGAACAATCGGCTTCTCAAAGCCAATGGTGACAACCAGGAAAGGCAGGCCCTCGGAAAGCAGAACCATGTTGATCGGGACGCCGAGCTTGGAGGTGACGGTCAGACCAAACAGGAATGCGAAAACGGACTGGAAAAGGACGGTGGCAGCCAACCAAAAGTTGGAGCCCAGGCGCCTCATCGAGAGGAAGAGCGACACAAAAGTCAGGTGCATGGAGAGGTAGCCAAGGGCCATGATGACGATGTCAAGCGTCTCGGCGTTCTACAAGCAGTTAGAATATGCCGTGTAACCATCGGAGACCACACTTGCCTTGAGAAGGTCCAGAAAAGAAGTCCAGGACTCGGTAGCCCAGCGACGCAAATCGGTGGGGCTACTACTGGCGTTCTTGACGGCCTTCATGATCCACTTCTTCTCCTCGACGGAGCCGTCTTCGGCCTTCTGTGCGTCCGAAGCACCAATAGGAGCGGGGAGCTCCTGCATGGCGGCCAGAAACTCAGAGGCCTCGTCATAGGGGATGGAAAAGGCGAGAGAGGTATCGTGCGAGATCTGAGAGAAGGCGGAGGAGGAGCTGGGGAGCAATTCGGCCGAGGAGTTGCGCGGGATAGGGACGGCATTGCCCAGAGGGGCGGTCTGGGGCGCATTGGCGGGGGTGGACTCGGGGAAAAGAAGGGTCAGGAGGGCGAGCTTCTCGTAGGTCTGCAGATGGTGTTAGCGCGGGCCGAAGGTTGGTTGAGCGGGGCTTTACTCACCTCATCGAGAGTGACGTCCTCGTCGGCCTGCCAGGTCCACTCGGACGCGGGCCCAATCCTCAGGGTCTTGCTGCCAGCCAACAGAGTGTTGAAGTCGGCCTTGCCGAGAGAGCTGCTCGCGGAAGCAGAGCCGGTGAACAGGCTGCTCTCAATGACGCTGAGGTAGGTGGTACTCGCAAGCAGCGCGGTGAAGACAATGGTGTGGATGGGGTGAGTGCACGCGCGGCGACACACAGCCTGGAGGAGGGGCGAGATCTGGCGGTCGTACCAGGTCGGGCGCGTCCTCGAGGACTCGCTCGCGCCGAAGAGGCGCGACAGCATGGTGGTGTTTGTTGGGCGGTGTAGCTTCGGCACCAACAGATGGCGAGTGGGAGGCGCGCGAGCTCTCGCGGCTGGGCGGAGGGGCGAGCACACAGCACAAGGGCTTGGTGCACGGCGCGAGGGTTGCGGAGGGGAGGCTCGCGAGGTTTGGCGGTGTTGAACGCTGGGGAAAAAGAAAAAGAAGGAACGCGGACGCGAGTTGCAGCAGGTGCGCTGTTCAGGCGATGGCGGAGAGGCGGGCCAAAGTGATAAGCACGGCACACGGGGCAGCTCGCGGCATCTGGGTGCGCTTGGATGGAAATTGCAAGATGTGGGTTCTGGCGTAGGTTGGGCGGTAGGGGGCTGCCATAATTATTATTCGCCATGAACCGCCCATTGGCCGCGAGCCCTCACCGCTGCGGCCAGTCCGAGAGCAGGGAGCTGGCACTCAGGAACGCGCAATGACTGCGTGGTGCAGCTGCCCTGGTCCGCTGTGCCACGGCCGGCCGAGCCCGCAGCCTTGTCGCCAGACAAAGGTGCCGTCATCTGAGTTGCTATTGTGCTCAACGCGCCGGGGAATGCACACGCCGCCACGCGACCGCCGCCCTCGCGGCCTGCGCAGGGGCCCCTCGCCCGTCCGCCCGTCGGCCGCCCTCAGCAAAAGCCCAGCAGCCGCGCCTACTGCGTACCTAGCGTGGCCGACAGGCCAGCCACAGCGCCACACTATTTTTTGTTGTAGGCCGACTCGGAGCGCTCGAAGCGGAAGCGATCGGCGGGCTGCATGCTGCGCCGTTAGCAGCGTGGCAGGGCCTGCGTGCCTGCGCCCACACCCTGCCCGTCGGCTTGGCGCCTGCTCCTCCAGCAAGCTCCAGCGAGCTGACCGGTGCGGGTACGCAATCCCAAGAGGCAACCGCAGAGATTTCAGACATTATCAGGGGCCTGCTGCACTGCTCTACAAGCGACATTGTATGCTGAGTCTACCTGGCCATCTACGGTCTAATCCGCCGGGATCCCATGCTGCTTCCGAGATCGGCACTGCCGTGTCGCTGCATCCCCATCGGGAAGCCAGTACGTACACGGTAGGAGCGTCTCGGAGCACCGAGTCGCTGCGTGTGCATCGTGTGCGTCCTGCCGCATCTCCGAGCGCCGCATCCTCGGGCCTCACACTTCGGGCGCCTTCTTGGACAGAGGGACGTCCCCGTTGGTGACGTCCTCGATGAAGCCAAGGTCGGGGTTGTACAGCATGACATGGAAATGCTCAACAGCGTGCACCGACTTGAGGCTTTTCCAGTTCTTGAACCAAATGACCTGGGCGTGCGTCAGCAAAGCCACAACGCCAACGTACGTACACAGTAGTGCCCTTCGAGTTACCCACCTGCTCGGCATTCACCCGCGTGCAAAACGTCTGGGCCACATAGTCGTCGATCATCTGCCGCGCTTCCGGCGTCAGGTCGTCGGTGGCCGGGTCATCCTCGAGCTCGAACTTGGTCCACACAACCAGGTGGACGATGCGCTCGTCGACGCCGTAAGGCCAGTCGTTGTGCAGGATCTTGATGTCCTCTTGGCGGCGTCAGCTCGGGGCTGAGGGTCAGGCAGATACAACAATACCAACCAGGGTGAGCGAAAGGGCGGCCTCGGGGCGTCAGATCGGTCCACTGCAGCCTTTCTTTGAGGACAAAGTCCATTATGGAGCCATAGTTGCGAATCAGCTCCCAGGTATAGTGGCGGTAGCGCCGCAGCTCGCTAGGCTTCCGCACGAACTTGTCAATGCGGTTTGTTTCTGTGGTCATCAGACGCCTGTGGTGTGGGACCGCGTGGGCAGCGCTGCGCTTACTGATGATTTCCTTGACATCCTCCCAGCCGCGGGGGCGGTACTCGGAGTCGGGGGTGCCGATGATGCCACGGTCCTTCTCCCCGCATTCCTTGAGGAAGTCGGGGCACTCTTCGGTGCGCAGATCGTCGGGCACGTTGACCTGCCACCAAGGCAGCGTCGCCGAAGGCATCTTGGGGGCTTCTGACGAGAGATTACGGAGATGGGTGGGCAAGGGGCCGGGCTGGATCCAGCAAGGGTCCGCGCCTGGCAGTAGGGCAACTAGTGCCTGATAGACAGGCAGCCGTGCAGCCCTCACCACCGCCGTCCTCACCGATAGCCGTCGCAGCTCTTCAGCCGCAACGGCCCCCATATCAGCGCCTCGCAAGAATAGAATCCGCCCTCTGACGCCACACCCGCCGCTGTCTTCTGCAGATGACGACTGCGGAAAGCCTTCCTCTTTCGAGGCCAAGTTCGGGATGCCGAAACCGCCGCCTGCCGAGCAATCTCGCTAACGGACCACTTGACGGACGGCAATGGTGGAAGGCCTTGGTGAGTTTTGGGGTGAGCTTTTGGTGCCAGCCAAACTGCGCGGCAACGGGCCTGTCGCCTGCATTGCCGCAATCTCATACTCTATCTCTTACCGTGCGTGCGTGCCCACCGCTCGCAGCCGCCGATTGGCACGACGGCGCCGCTACCGCCAGGCGTCGGCGATTCACCCGCCCGCTGCACCAGGGTCCCTTCAATGTTCCGCCGCAGCTGCTGCTCGCATTGGCTGCACGCCTTCGTTTCAAGCCGACCACATGCTGTGACCCGTGGACTTGGAACATCCCAGTAGTTACACCATGCGACAAATGAGAGGCCTGCTGTCCCTGAGTCGGCTATCGTATCTTTCTCACTCAGTCAAAACACCCGTGATCCCCGTTCCCTTTCTCCCACCTCCTCCTCCTCTCGCCGGCCGTCCATTCCTCGGCCCAGATACCACCACCTGCGGAATGTACGTGACGATGGTATCGGGGAATTGACACCTGCCACAGCCCTGCCCTCCGCATTTTTCGCTTATTTCATCTCGCCCGTTCACTGCCCATTCGTTCCCTTCATCGCTACCTGCAGGCACTCGCTTCGTCTTCCGCTCTCCCTGCGAGTCACTTCAGGTGACACACACTCCCTCTCGTCCGTCCGTCCGCCGCAAACCGTGATTGCCGGGCCGGTCGCCCAATCGCCCGACAGCCACGCAACGATCGTTTCGAAACCGCGTCGCATACACACCCTAGTGCCGATCACCGGCCGCCACACTGCCCCATCCGGGCCAACCGTTTCGACCCTCATCGCCACCACCCTAGATCACCGCAAGGCGATCCTGACTTTCTTTCGGACCGCTTCCAGTTGTGCAACCATCGCTCACCCCTATCCGAACCAAAACAAACCTAAATCCCACCCCCCCACCATGGCAACCGTACGAGATCCCATGTTCTGGCAGCGCTTCTCCGCCGCCATCCGCCTGGACGAAGAGGAAAAGGTCGGCGTGGAAAAGGGAGAAGACGCCAAACCGGCAGACTCGAAAAAGTCATCACGACCGAAAGTAGGACATTCGTACGGCCCCCCCCCGCGCTCCGTCCCCCAACTTTTGTCTCTTCGATTTTCTTCTCAACCAACCAGGCGCAAGTACCCCCGACTGACCATGCATGAAACAGGGAATCGTGGCTGGAGCGAGAAAGAGTCAAGAAGAGGCGCCGGAACTACATCTGCTGGGGCTTCTGGTTCGGCTTCTTGGGCTTCATCGCGGGTGTCGTGGTGGTGATAGTATGGTGCGACAACGCCGGCATCTTTCACAGACTCAACGAGCTGGGTGCGCCGCAGCGGGACGGTGATGGGAGTTGAGTATGCGCGACAACCCGCAGAGGATGGCGGAAAGGGTGGAGGAAAAAAGGAAAAGAGAGGGACGGGAATACAAGCTGTCGAGCAGCTTCTTCTTGAGGTTATGAAGCTCTCTATTCTAGGCTTCAGGTCGGGACAACTCCGAGGTGGGGAACAGTAGTGGAACCGGCGGGACGGGGGTTGGGATTGGATCTTTGGAAGGTAGCGGCGTACAGAGGGGGATCAAAGTCCTTGTGGCTGGCCCCACACATGATACCACGAATTGCCCTGGTTCGAAATTTTGTTCAATCATCAGTACATTCAACCACAAAAAGGAAAAAAAAAAAATCAGCTAGAAGCAAAATATGTGATTCAACAATGGATATCCGAAAACTCTCAACTTGCTCCTCTTGGTCCCACCAACGCCAATACATGATTTTTGAATTAGAAAGCTGCCCCTAGAGAACCATGAGCAGAAGGCACTCCCAGGGATAGCTTGACTGAGGAACGTACCAAGCAGCATCCTCTGTCTCAAGTGCAGAAATACGTGCTTGTCAATGTATCGACGCATTGAACGAAAGCGTCTCGTACTGATTCGTCGAGGGGTTCTGCTTTCTGATGGCCACGAGGTATCCAACAGTGCCTGTCCCTGCTTTTGGAGCCTTTTCATCCTTGACTTTACTCCATCCCCGCGCGCTGAAAAGACGGCACGTCAAAAGCAGCGCGCGTTGTTCACCACCTCCTCCTGGTCGGCTCCGGGCTGGGACTCCTGGTGACGCTCCTCTCATCCCTACCCCTCATCTTCAGCCACTTCTTCGTCGACAGCTCCAGGTCGCGCTCGAGCTCCGGGGTCGGCACCTTGCGGTGTATGAAATTGCAGAAGCCGCCGCGCACGCAGCCCTCGCCGCTGTTCAGGCGGCAGCAGGCTTCGCGGAAGTCGGTGACGGGGGACAATTCGCAGTAGATGGGGCGGGCGGCGTACCAGCGCGAGTTGAGGTCGTCGCAGGCCTTCTGCGCGCTGTCTTCGTACTTGAATCTTGCGTAAACGTTGCCGATGAGATCTGCGGGGAGGCACGAAAAGCAATCGTCAGTACTGCTTGAGCTGGGGCGGGGAAGAGAAGAAAGACTTACGGTCATTGTTGTTGTCGCACACGACGACCTCCTCCAGCTCGCCGTACTTGCACATCTCAGCCCAAAAGTCCTCATAGAAGGCGTCGAAGTGGTTCTGCAGCTGGCTGGCGTTCATCTTGTTCTTGGGGTCGTAGGCCGGGTTCTGGTAGAGGTTGGGGAGAAGGATGGTCTGCGAGTACGAGGGCTTGACATGTTTGCGCGAGCAGCGGTCGCCGTGTCTGCAAGCGCCGATCTTGTAGTAGAAGGAGCAGTTGACCCTAGATAGTTGCGATGTTAGCCATGCGACGCGAAATTGGGGCGGAGCTGAGGGCGCGCTCGAGGCGCAGAGGGGAAGCTTACTTGTCCTGCTCGGTGCCGAAAATGGAGGCGAGGTAGTTGGCCATGGTTGCGCGATTGCGACTGCGGGAGTTGGAGGGTTGTGGGGAGGATGTAAGGTGTGGAGAGCTGCTTGAGCTGGAGAATCACGATGTTGAAGAGCCGCCGCCGACGCGGTCCGTGCTGACAAACGCGCCAAGCTTTCCGCCGTTGCCCCCGAGCCTGCTTCCAGGCGCTTCTCCTCCCCTTCAAATCGCACTCAGTTCTTCGCCACACTTTCGCTGCGCTCGAGATCCATCACGCTGAATGCCAACCGGAACACAGACTCTGCTGGAGAACCTCGCAAGTACATCAATTTGCCACCGGCCATCGACTTTTACCGGTTCGTCCGCCACGGGGTCGGCGGATTCAAGCTGGCTGCATTGCTGCAGACTGCGTAGTTGAGCCACTTCCTTAGTCACAGTCGTGCCCCCATCATGGATCAGATAGTTTGGTCAGGGGTTCAATGCTTCGATTAAGCCGCACGGCAATGACAGGGGCGGGATGATCTCGGAGAATTCTAACAAATCGCTCTCCCCCCAACTGTTGTTTTGGCACTCGAACGGCTGGGATGGGCCTATTTTGACGGATCGTACCCATGAACAGCGGCACGGGCTTCCTCGATAGTGAAGAGGACATGCTTTCAATTCAGCCTCAAGTTGGGTCCCGGGTCAGCATTCGAATCTCCATTATGGCCTCTGGGCAGAAGGCCTTTTCGCTCTGCTCATGTACCTCTTTGATGCTACTACGGGGAGCTTCTGATTCTCTGGGATATGTTGTGTCCTTGAGGCTGATACGCGCCGGTGCTAGGACGCGCCGCCACTGTAGCGCAAGCGCCACAACGGAAGTACCTGAACGAGCCTTGGAGGGGACTGTAGCCCTAGGCTAAGCTCGTCCGAGTGCTGGTTCGAATGTGGCTAATGGGTGTTTTCGCAGACGCCCCAATGAGCGGGCCGACTGCAGTGCGCTATACGCAGCTTATCAGTAGATGACAGGGATTGGGCCCAATACGAAGACTTGCAATCCTGCGCCCCGTCCTCAGAGCAGAGACCCAAGCTTGGCCTCCATAGCCTTCCTTCTCGCTGGGACAAGCCTTTGCCGCCGACTGGGTGGAACGCCAGGCCAGCCTCTGTGTTGGCTGTTGTACGACGCACAAGAGCCATGCTGCTTCCGATGCCGCTCTTTGCGCATTACGCGACATGTAAGTCAGCATGCCGCCGGCTCCACGACAGTGCTCGCTCTGTTGGAACCGTGCCGAAAGGGCAGGTGCTTTGCCCATGAGACATGGGCTTAGGCCGTTGGCCATTCTACGAAATCCTCGAGCGGCGTCCTTTACCCCATTTGGCAGGTCGACCATGCGGATGGCGATCTCGTACCTAGCGACCCAGGAACTCCAAATTGACTTGCAGCGCTGTTTCCCCACCGCCTTGGACTTTGTCACCCGTCGCCCACTGGCTATAAAGACGCATGGCTACCACCCGTTTTCCTTGGCTGTGGTGTCCGTCTCTCCGCAGTTTTGCATAGCTTGGTACCATGGTGCTCCTGTCAGGTTTCCGCGGCACGCTGCCTCTGGTGCTTGCATATACCTACGTTCAACATGCTCAGGCCCTAGGCATCTTCGGTGGCGCCAAGCAGATGCAACTGGCTGAGATGGCTGAGAGGGGCTTGTTTCCTGGTATGTGGGCTTGACGCCCCCCACTCTCCCGTGTTCTTGCTTCCGATATCACGCGGGACTGACCCAATCGCAAGACGGTACCCCTGTCACTGTCGATCTCCCAGCGGACATCCAGGTCTCGAGGCTCCACACTGCAGCCAACAACACCACCGAAGTCATTAATCCAGAGTTTGTCACGCTGCCCCTGGACCACTTTGGCCCTGACGCCGGCACCTTTGAAAACCGCTTCTGGGTGGCCGAATCGGGCTACAGGGGCGCCGGCCACCCGGTCTTCATCTACGACGCGGGCGAGGCCAACGCTGAGCCGAACGCCCTCTTCCGGCTGCAGAATGAGACTTCCTTCTTCAAGCAGATCGTCGACTCCTTCGGGGGCATCGGCATCGTCTGGGAGCACCGCTACTACGGCGAGTCCACTCCGGTCAACATCAGCCTGGACACGGCCCCGGAAGACTTCGTCTACCTGACGACCGAGCAGGCGCTGGCCGACATCCCCGCCTTCGCCGCCAACTTCACGCGCGCCAACTTCCCGGACGTCGACTTCGGGCCCTCGTCCACGCCGTGGATCTTCATCGGCGGCTCGTACCCCGGCATGCGCGCCGCCTTCCTGCGCGACCGCTACCCGGACACCATCTTCGCCTCGTTCGCGTCGTCGGCCCCGGTGCAGGCGCAAAACGACATGTCCGTCTACTTCGAGCCCGTGTACCGCGGCCTCAACCGCTACGGCTTCGGCAACTGCTCCAAGGACATCCACGCCGCCATCGAGTACATGGACGACCTGATGGAAGACCCCGCCGCCGCCGCCGCGCTCAAGACGCGCTTCCTCGGCCGCAACGCCGACAAGAACTCCAACGCCGGCTTCGGCGACGCCCTCAACACCATCATCTGGTACTGGCAGTCCTACGGCGTCGAAGGCAACCTGCGCCCCTTTTGCGACTACATCGAAACGGACCACTCCACCAACGCCACCAACGCCACCGCCATCTACAACGGCACCATCGCCGGCGCCGATGGCTGGGCGCCGTCCCGCGGCCCCGAATACGTCGTCGAGCAATGGGCGTCCTACCCGGCCTTCGCCGCCGTCGCCAGCTACTTCCTCGACACCGACTGCGAAGGGCCCACCACACCCTCCAACACCACCACCACCACCGCTCCCGAATGCGACCTCGAAAAGCGCTTCGCCGACCCGGCCACCATCAGCTGGACGTGGCAATACTGCACCGAATGGGGGTTCCTGCAATCCGCCAACCTGGGCCCCGACCAAATCGTCTCCCGCTGGAACAGCCTGCAGCACCAATCCGACATCTGCCGGCGGCAGTTCCCGACCGCGAACGCCTCGCTCATCCCGCAATGGCCGCGCGCCGACGCGACCAACGCCGCGCTCGGCGGCTGGGCCATCCGGCCCTCCAACGTGTACTGGTCCGGCGGCGAGTTCGACCCGTGGCGCACGCTGAGCCCGCTGTCGGCCGAGCCGTGGGCGCCCGCCGTGCGGTTGACGCAGACGCCGCCGGCGTGCGGGGAGAAGCCGGCGGAGGATGAGATTTTTGGGTACGTCATGCCCGACGCGCAGCACTGTTACGATTTCCGCACGACGTTTGCGGGGGGCGCGGCGAGCAGGGAGATTTTTACGGGTGCGTTGGCGGGGTGGTTGAAGTGTTTTTGAAGGGAGGGAGGGAGGGGATTGAATGAATGAGTCGGGATCTTGGATTTCCCCCCCTCCCCCCTCGGAGCTGAAGGAGGGGGGGG